ATTTATGTTATACTGTTATAAACCATAATTATAAATATGTTCAGTTTGGACTCATTTGGGACTTAGATTTAGTAGTAGGCTCATCCCCTATTACAACAAAACCTACTTCGAATAAACTCATTATACATCTCTGCGTAACCTTCCGGGCCACAAGTACGGTGAAACATAAAGATGTGTGCCAATGTTACAAAATAAAATAGAATAGTAACAATTCCAACCACGTCCCGTTAATTTCAATAACTAATACTTAATCGCAATTGCGACTGCCGGGCAAGGGGTCTCGGGTTCGATTCCCGGGTCGGGCAAAGTATTACTGGGTTTTTTAAAAATTCTCAGTAGTAGCACGGAGTCTGGAACTGTGCCCGGTATATGGCAATAGGCTCACCCCTTATTACATGGGACTCATAAGTCATAACATAAATAGTGAAAAGTGGGTGTTACATTGTACAGTGGTATAATGTGCACCTCTGCCTACCCCTTCGAGGATAAAAGGTGTGATGTTATGTTATGTTAATACTTAAACCTAGGTCACAGTATTGAACTGGCAGTTCATTAAATCATTATACAGTGATTACAAGACACTAGAATAAAGTTAGGCTTGATTATGGCATTATAAGCGATAAAAAGCGACTGCACTGTTGGTGCGGTAACTGGGCAACCGGCTGCCGTGCAACGTGTCGCGGATTCGATTCCCGCACGGAACAACACTTTGTGTGATCCACAAATTGTTGTTTCGGGTCTGGATGTCATTGTTTATGTGAACTTGTATGTTTATAAACGCACCCCGCGACACAGGAGAAACCTCTAGTGTGGGTCAACGCCGCAGAAGACTTAACGGGTTGCCGGGGCTCCGGCTTGAAGTGCAGGAGTAGGAACGGGGTGGTTTTTAGTCAGTAAGAGTCTGACATTCCCTCTCGCCTCTCCCTGGCGAGAGAAGATATTGATTGATTTTTGCCCCTCAAATAATTTGTGGCGCAATGTTTTTTAAACAAAAAAACAAAATATAGCAACTGATAGCCATAAATATAGATAGGTTTGAATTATGTATTTATAAAATGTCAAATGACAAAAATAGAAACAGCTTTACCAATATGTCCACTCATTATTCATTATTTTGTCAGTACTAAATCTATACAACATAAAAATAGTCTTCGATTTTTTAACCTATTGTAAACAATTCGTTTCTGATTAGAACGAAAGATATATTATCATGGCTCAACTTTCTTGATATCTATTTTGTTCCCCGCTCTTGCGTAGATTAAATATAAATGTGTTTATAATTACAAATGTCCAGTTTCAAACGCACAGTTCGACGTACGCGCGTGAAACATCAACTTTATAAAATAATAATAATAAGTAAATGCTTTCTATTTTTCAAAGCGAAGTCATTTATTTATCTGCATAATACTTGATAGTGGTCGCACAAAGAATTTACACGTTGCCAGCGAGTGATATGATAATTTAAATAAATCCAAGTGTTTCAAATCTAATCTCTTCCTAATTCTAAATAAAATATTGATAGTAAAAATATTTAAATTGAAAGAAAACATTTGCTGATGCAAAAGTGGTGTGTTTTCGATGAAATGTCATTGATTTGAATCTTTATCGAGGTGTGAAAGGTTAGTACGATAGGCAACAATGTAACAATTGTATTTTAAGAAAATAGGCTAAACAATACTACTGTTACGTTAGTGTAAAAATTGATACGATTTTAGCGTGTTGTGTTGTCTTGTGTTGCTAATTGGATGTACGGAAAAGTAGTGTTATCACAGTGATAGCTCGGTGATATTAAATTGTTATCTGGTGATCAAAAAAGGGATAATACAAATATATGGTATTTATAACTAACGTTTGTATAGAAAAAAAGGTACAGGCATATAAAAATATCCATATTAAGTACATTTCATTGATAGTCTCGAGATTAAAACCAAAAAAAACTAAATTGTTCTCACTTATAAACGTATAATTAATTGAGCAACTAAAATAATACTACTCTTATTAATTGATTTCATGCAATAGTATTTTTATATATATTTTTCTAGCTAATTAACGAAAAATAAAATTTCTTTTTGAATAATAAAAAAAAGATATCGCATCCCACAGCCTCGTAGAAAATAAATAGAAAACTATAATTTTATTACTTTAATGTTTCGAATTTAGTTGGTAGGTATAACCTTATTAAAGTTATCAAATGAGTACTTTAATTAATCCCGGATATCAAGGTCTTGTCTCTAGACTGAAAGGTCATCGGATAAAGGAGTATTGTATCATTAAATACTACTTCTAGTATAGTAATACCATCCTTCTGATCAAATAATAATAGTTGATAATATTTTAGCTTTGTTTTTCGGCTTATTCACGTAATTATTTGACGAATTATTTGAAGGAAAATGCTGCTCATGAATATGAGCCTCTAGCATGTCTTGAAACTTGTCGAGTTCCTCGTCAAATAATTACGTGAGTTAGCTGAAAAACATAATAATTAATTTAGTATGTCTCACGAAAGTTATTTCATAAATATTTTGGCTTGCACAAAATATTGAAATTTTGGTAATAAAATTAGAATGATATGGTATGACAATGTCGCGGAGAACCTAACGGGTTACCGGGGGGCTCCGGCTCGACGTGCAGGAGAAGGACGGGGTGGTTTTTAGTCAGTAAGAGTCTGACACTCCCTTCCGCCTCACCCAGGCGGGAGCAGTCATTCGATGATTTTCCCCCCCTAAAAAAAAGGTATGACAATAATTTCATGACAATGTTTAATATTATTGTTACATATTTTCAATATGTAATGCAATAATTATTTATCGTGTGAATTATACAAGCTAGTCAGAAACACACTCCTATATTTTTTCCAAAACAAAAGACGAACATAAATAGGTTTCCCTATTGAAAGTGGCCAGCTTGCTACAGATAACATAAACATATATAACAATTATGTAATTTTATTTAGTTTTATTTTATATAATATCAGTTAATGCAATTGAATACCATGTTAATAAATAAATAATAAATAGAATAATGCTTATAACGAACTAACACTGCTTAACTAATATATTTTTATGCTTTTGTTTGACAAACCAGTTAAAAATGCAAAAGTGTGTAAAGATTTACCTGTAATTGTTATGAATGCTTGTTATAACACTATTACGAAGAAACTGCATGAAATTTGGAACAGAGATACATTTAACGTCACACCTTTTAATTCCATACCCATGTAACACCCACTTTTTAAATATTACTTAAGTTATGAGTCCTATGTACAAGGGAACAGACGTATTGTAATTATTGTAAAGGGCAATAAGCTAATAGTACACCGCATTAATCCCGTTAACACTGGCAGAATGTAGGTAAACATAAACCATTTGACACCTGTACAATATAGCTTATGTTAGCGTCAAGTGCACATGTACTCAGCCTTTGACTACCACCGTCTGTTGCACTAACTCGACAAGATGCAATTATACCCTCAACTCAACTATTGACATTGAAGTAACCGGTTAAATAAACATGTAATGAAACCTAAATAAAAGTAGGTATCCTACTATCCTACTAATATTATGAATGCGAAAGTTTGCGAGATCGTATGTGTGTGTGTGTTTGTGTGTGTTTATTATTCTTTCACGCAAAAACGGATGAAGAGATCGGAATGAAATTTTGAATAGGCGTAGATAGTCTGGAATAACACATAGGCATTTTTATCCCATGGGAACGCGGGCGAAACCACTGGAAGATGCTAATTATTTTATATGTAGATATAATAACAATAATACAGACGTAATAAGAAAAAATATATGGATTTGATAATTATCTTCTTACTTACTAACTTAAAAGTTGCATATGGTGGATCTATTATTAATTTATTCCGTCGCAAATTAACAAACTTGATAAACGAGTAATTCCATAAAATACAATTCTATACATGTCAATAATATTTTTACAACTGTAAACAAATTTTTAATAAAGTAAATAAAGAATAAACCCTGACATAATTTTAAGGTCCAATATGGTAGTGGCATACAATAATATGAAAGTAGTTCGGCTTGCAATCCTTTATAAAATCAAAATAACTTAAACTCATACGTACTAGGTGCGTATTATCGAAATGACCGATAAGTTGTGTGACACGTAAGTAATTTTTAATCCTTTTAAATAAATCAGACCATAATCAGACCATTTACATATGTACATACAATAAATACGTAGTGCATTAAATACTTATATACAAATTAATATCGACAACGTATAGTCACAATACTTTATTGTTATAATTACCTCTTACCAAGGGTTGGTCACCCAAGCCAGACAAAACAAGTCTTAAGTACACACGCACTCAACTTGTACCCACAATTATCTTATCACAAGCGGTCACTAACGAACTTTGATTTACATATTTGTAATAGAGAAGTTATAGGGAGTACAATCGGTACATTTCAACATATCGCGGGACACAGGACGTATTCGTGTGTTGTAATCATTAATCTAATTGTTTGTGCAACGAGTATATTAATTGTCGTACTATTTAGTACAGCCACTTCTTATAATTATCAAAGGATCGTACGGTAGTCTAATATTTTTTTCTTTTTTATTGTTTTTTTATTATTATATTTTTTGTTGTAAATTAATTCTGCTGACGCGAAAGTACCTTCAGAACTTGTTTTTTCATTTATAGATATAAGATTAAGTATGTAAGTGAGAACATGAATAGAAACTGAATATTTGTGTTTGTTATATATCCCTAGCTTAAAGCTAAGAATACACTAGGGGACAAATGTCACGCGACAATGTCGCCAACGACGTTTGGTGAAGTAGTGCGACGTTGCCGGACTTTGGTCGACATCCCTGGCAACATCAACGTCGCAGTGGACATAAGTTACGCGTTGTTGCCATATATGACATGTCGCCGATACATGTCGTGAGACATTTTTCCTTTAGTGTATCCTTGGCTTAACTGTCTGGTTTTACTAACATTACTTTTTGTTTCAGAATAAACAGTCACAATGACAGAAAACGGTGTTCGAAATCGTTTAAAAAACGGGAAGAAGAGTGAAGTATCGACTGTTACTAACGGGGATGTGATCAAAGAAAATGAGTTCAAAGTTCGAGAGTCTCCTTTGACGGAGCTGATACAGTCCTCATTGCACATAAGGGCCATATACAACATATTTGTGGTCATACTCCTCGTGTTGTTTTGCGACACCGTCATATACGACCTCGTCGACAGAGGAAAGCAAGTAAACATTACCTATTTATATTTAAGGTCATCACACACCTAACACGGCTCCGACGCAGCTCTAACCTAGCAATTAAGTTGTCATTTAAATATGAACTTTAAATCGTATGTCATATTCAAAGCAAAAAACGCTGTACCGGAGCCGTGCTTGAGCCATGCCGGAGCCGTACTCGTTAGGTGTGCGTTGACCTTTATAATCATTTATTTTAATCTGTGAGTAATGAACTTTCTGTGAAGAACTTGTTGGTGATGAACTAGTTGATCAGTAGGTACATGACAGTTCATTAGTGGCAATAAGGTGTGATTTGATGTGATCTTTGCCATTTGTCCTTTTGGTCTTTGATAATTAGATAGGTTACTGTGATCTTGTGGAGGAGCTATTATTTTTAATTTAACACCATGATAAAAACCAATGTTAAAGTTCTTAAAACTAAAGACTTAATACCTCTGAGGCTTAATACGTTGGGACTCATAGAAAATATCTTAGGACCCATTTTTCAATCATCAATTATTTTTAACTGTAGACTAAAATTGACATTTTACAGTTTTTAGTATAGAAGAATTGTCAAATGTTCAAAGATAGTCAGTTAATATTTATCGTTTTAAAAACCGACCCTTAAATTATTTTCTACAACATTATTTTTCTCACATAAAATAACTTTATTATCACCTTCGACTAACCCTCATACACTATTATCACAATATAAACGTAAGTACAGTGAACCTAAAAATAATTCATAAAGTTTGAAAAGTGTTGTTTGAATAGAAATTATTGCTAAGGGTGTTGTTAAAAGTTTAGAACTTCTGACTAGCTTCAATGGTATTTAATAACAAGAATCGATATATTCATCAACTTTTGTTAGTGGCTGTAATTGATACGAATATAAAAAATATTCTCACAGTACCTACCTAATAATGAAACAAACTTCATAGAATTCCAAAGTTCTACAAAAAGCGGCGTAAACGATACGGAAGTTATTAAACAAGTCACATTACGGAAAAAGAAACTAAGTTTGTCGTATCTTCCACTGTATGTACACATATCCAGTTAAATATATTTGTTTTCATATTCCACACACATTCGACGTTGTTTCCGAAAGTCGTAAGAAACGTTGCAGTGCATATGTCGCCATTCGCCACGCCATTCGCAAGCACTCCCTGTAATTAACTCCGGGATGTTACTCGTTTAAATTCCAGATGCCAGATTACAGACTTATCTCCCAGCTTGGCAGAGACTAAATACTGCAATTTTCACTCGCGTTGCTTTAATTATGCAAAATATTTCGTGCTACGAAAAAATGTGGAACAAGAAACGTAGTATTTTTTGTTACCGTCGACGCCAAATTACGCCATTTTTTACGGCGTTAACATGCAAAAGTTTCGTTTGTACTTCATAATAATGTAAACTTGGGCATATTTTGATGGACTCGAATGTTTTTGCGTAATGCTGTTGAAAATTCACTTAATTGAGCCTTTTTTACAGGATAAATATAGGACTGGGGGTTATTGCAGCAGGATTTGGTGACATCAGGAGAGGAATGAAGTTATGGCTGTACGACTTCTTTATTGCTATGGCTTTTTACCCACTGCTCGTAGCATATTCTTGGGCCGGAAAAGTCTCCAGAAAATATCCAGGTACTTATGCTTTTCTGATTAATTGACTAACTTGATTTCTTCAGTACCTACTCTGTTTACTTGGATTCGTGTATACCTACTAAATGATACAACGTTTTGTTTTGACTAATATTTTTGATAACACTTTGTAAAAAATTAGACATTATCTCATTAATTGAATGTACTGGATGTACTCGTACCTAACAACAACGAACGTGATAAACAACAGCTGGTCAAGTTCAGTCTCGAATTTGTACAACGTTTACACGAAGAGTGATTCAAAATAGTTTCCGTTTGTTATCATTATATTGTATAAAATACTAGCGGCCCGTCCCGGCTTCGCACGGGCATTAAACATTACATTTAGATTTGTTAATTTTAACACATTCATAATAAAAACTTAATTGCGACTTCTCGCTCTTGACGTCTGTTGTCGTTCTCTCTGATCTTGAAGGCGTTGGAAACGCTCAGAGCTTGATTCCCTAGTGCGAGATTGAATATTTCTGATATTTTGGTCTTCAAGCCGCTGCAAACGCTGAGTAGGTACTTGACTCTCGCGCATGCACATGAGAGGTTCTTAGATTTTGTTCAGTAAGGCGCTGCGAACGCTCAAGACTGGACACTCGCGCGCGTACCTGAGAGGTTCTCAAATTTTGTTGAGCTAGACGCTGTAAACGCTCAAGACTCGATTCTCGCGCGTGTGCTTGAGAGGTTCTCAAATTCTGATCAGCTAGTCGCTCTGAACGCTCAAGACTGGACTCTCGCGCGCAGACTCGAGAAGTCCTCACATTTTGTTCAGCGAGCCGTTGAGAACGCTGCAAACTGGATTCTCGCGCGCGTATTTGAGCGGTTCTCATATTTTGTTCAGCGAGCCGTTGCGAACGCTCGGTACTCGACTCTCTAGCACGCGATTGTGCCACATATTGTCTATGAATTGAAAGACGATTCTCAGTTTCTGATGAAGATTCTTCATTTCGACGTATTTTTGATGCCCTGGCCTGGGAACTATTTCTAGAAAGTTGAGATCTTGATCTTTTAGGCATTTCAAAATGACAAAAGAAAAAATGCCTTTGAACTAAATTAGCATAACTGTAAGCTATATATGCTACTATATTACAACGTACACAACTACCTACTATTTATTAAAATTAAATTGAAAATCATGAAAAATATTCAAGTAATTTATTAGGTTAATAACTAAGTGAACAATATTTTATATAAATGGGTTTAGTTCTGAAAAGAACTTTTTAAATCGGTTTAGTTACTTACTAAACGAATTATTATCAAGCGTAAATTCCGCACACGTCCATCACGTAGGGAGCCGACCGCGCGAGTGAGCCGCGCGGCAAGTTTATTTCGTGATCTTAACCCCCCTCCCGTACCCCTGCCCGAGTGACGCCTACAACGCATAGCTAGCCGAATACAGTTTATTTTTTAATTTTTTTTTAACTTGTGATATCTTTTGAATGGATTGTCAGAATCGAATAATTCAAAAAGTAATATAAAGATATTGAAGCAGTCTTAAATAATACATCATTTATTTTGATAAGGGTTAATACCAAGGTACAAATAAAGAGTTTTTTGTAGCGGTGGTATTTTAATTTCTTTTTTTCAATAAAAAAACGCTTATTGTGACATGACTGTAATAGTTAGAGATATGCTGCCGCTGATTTTTTGTAGATAATGGTGTGTTCTAAAAAAATGTAGTATATCATTTTGTTCTATCATCAATAGTTTTCGCAGCGCACGCGATGTAAGGTAGTTTTTTGATATTTTTTTCACACCTTGGATTACGTTATCGTAATTTTAGTAAGGATGCCTATTTTTTTTGAAAATGAAATATAGCCTATGTCACTCAGGAATGATGTAGCTTTCCAACAGTGAAAGAATTTTTCAAATCTGCCAAGTAGTTTCGGAGCCTATTCAATTCATACAAACAAACAAACAAACAAAAAATCAAACCTTTCCTCTTTATAATATTTGTATAGATTACATCCAATTTTTGCACTGCGGTTAACAAATGTTTGTTACTGAAACGATATTTATCATTCCCATAATTTTATTTATCATTCCATTCATCATTATTTACTTTCCAATAAATAATGGAACCTTAGCAACATTCATATTTCCATTTACTGTTTACTGATGTTATAATTGAGTAAATTAATAATTTATTAACGAGATTTTTGTTCAACAAAATCATACGGCAATTGAAAACGTCATAAGCAGAAATTACCATTCTAATGAATGTACGAGGCTTAAAGAAAATCCTATTTATTAGGGATACCTACCACTTTCCTTCCATCTTTCGCCGATTATCTCTGTGACAAAATAAGCTGACATTAGGAAGATAAATGCAGCATTTATATTATTTAAAGCCGTGGACAGAATAGCAGCAAGTGGCCCCCGTGTCCTCACAGCAAGTGGAAGTCTTTTGTTGCAAGCGGCAGGCGGCCGGAGACCGACCCGCTCTCGCGGCGCCCTCCAATTAGTCACTTGGGTGGCCATAACCGCGCACCCGGAATGACTAGTTTTTATATTGTGCACTTTTCACACTGCTTTGCTTCACATTTTTGTAACAAATTATATCATTCCATTTCCCTATACATAACGTTTCGTTTAAAAGGCATTTCCGCTAAATTGGTTTGGGAGATAAAGCCCCTGCACGCTACGGTCTCGGTAACTTTACTTTTAATCAAGTTAGCAAGCAATGTGGTCGAGTGGCTGTCGTTGTTTTCACTATAATGCCTCAAGTATTTCTATTAAATAAGAAATGAACAATTTACAATTCATTTTGGGAAGCCCTCCTATGTTTCAACCTTCGAAACATCACTTAATGAGTGTAACAGCTGTAACATCGAAATTAAAAAGATCGAAGTGTACCTACTTAGCTGTACGATGTGTACGTTCAAGGACTATATTATCAAAGAACCCTCATCTCAATAATAGCAAGCATCTGCGATAAAATCTCAAAGGTCCCGGCGAAAGTACCTCAGATACAGATATTAAAAACGTTCTATTCTAAAAGCCGTTCGCTTTGAATGGGGTCCTTTCTCATTATATTGTATTTAACAAGGAACATCTGATGTCTACGTCTTAGGTTCCTGGTACACGCACTCTAATAATATGTAAGTAATATCGAGATAGAAGTACGTTTTCGACCTTCTAATTCTCTTACGCATTTGCAGAATACTTGAATTTTCGCGTGATATTCATAAAAGGCCTAATTTAGAAAGAATGTTATTACTTTCGTCTAGAATTGTTCAGAAATCTAACATAACCTGCTTAACTGAAGTATTCCTACACCATGTTTCACCATTTGATTTACGAGTTACCATTAGCTATTTACACGCTCCTTGGTTTTATGTTTCGATACAAATCGAATCGTTCCGTTGCAATTTCTCTAGTGAATACATGGCTTAAGTTGGTGCCCTCCAATTTGCCGCATCGCAGATTCTTATACAGAACCATATATCTAGCTGTGAGGCCGCGACCGGCCCCCGCCACCTCGCTGTATCGAACTATTCCCAATAAGGCCTAGTTATGAATACATTTCCTATGTTCCTGAATGTTAACTAGATCTAGTCAATAAAGAGAACATGATAGGTTTTATTGGTAAGTATGAAGCAGCTGTATGTTAGCTAAGTTCGGATTCCACTTAAACAATTATAGCTTTTTTTCTGATTAGGTCTTTGATGTTAATTGAATTGATTTAATAATCAGTTAGAGATCAATACTAAATTCATTTACTTTTACATTATGTGACATTACTGGTGGTGTATGGAAAATACAATTTAATCAAACGTTTCGTTGAATATCAGAATTCAATTTGTACTATAAAAAAGTGAAGTTTATTAATTTGATAATTTATAATTCTATTGGGAGCAATTACTAATAGTAACTCTTTAAATGATATAATAACGCGAGTGACGCCATGTGCTTATACTAGAACTAAACAACGAGTAAACTGGGAGAGCAAATGTTTCGAAATATTGACTCAACGACAAACTTTAATAATATTTCACCAAGTTTTAATTAGGTACCTTGTCCTTTGTTGGTTTGAACCGATGAGAAAACAATTTTAAATCATTTCTAATTTAAACTTTTATCGGGCTCTCATCTGGGTTTAATCACACGAATTATGTTCACAGTTCGATATAGTGATACTGTCACAACTTGAAATTAAAGGATTTTCAATAAAGTGTAGTTCCCTGGGGTTTTTACTATCTGCTCCGTGACGTATAGATCTGGTTACGCAAAACATTTTTTATGATCCTGAGTCTGATGATCCTCGTCTTATGTGAGAGTGTTGAAATGTTGGCAAATTAATCTATAAGTCCCAAGTCCCAAAAAAAAAATTATAACGAATAAAAATGTTAATATTAAATCATAAATTATTTATTGCAGTATTACGTCCAACGGTGATGATGCTGGGGATAGTCGGTGTGATTGCCGTGGAGGTTGCCGCCGCTATAGTGCCCGTCGTGGAGCTCGGCAGGAAGCATCTGGAGCTCGGCTCTTCTATCACTGTCACCTGCGAAATGGTAGGTACTATAATTTTATTACAACAATTAATTAACCATAACTATACGCAAACCAAGAATAAAACACTGATCTTTGCTGAATACATTAAAAAACTGAGTTTAATTCCTTCAATTTACTTGAATGTGTAAAACTAGAACTACTTAAGCCTTCACATGGAAAGTGTGAAAATATTGCCCTATTTAGTTTCTGAATTGACTACTGCAATTGCATCCCTAGAAATTAATAAACTTACCAGAGTGCTATAACTACCGACGGCCTATTTAGTTGAGATAACAACAAACATACCTCAAATTGCCCTGTAAACCGAACCAACATACTAACTACATATACCACTAGGTAGTTTGCAAACCAAAGACAGTTGACAAACATGCAGCATTATACATGTAGTGGCAACGTGCTTGGCCCGCTTGGCACAGTTTCTTGAAGTAGGGCGTTATTCAATGAACGTTCCATTAACTATATTTGAAACATAAACATGTCGCTATTATGAGAGCTTGTGGCTGGCAACCACTCTCAAGTTTAAGCTGCGCTTGTGGGCAGTCAGATTTTATCGTACTTTTTCTGTACGGGTAATGTAATTTATTTTGCTTACAAACTTTGCTGTATATTAACAGAGTGATGGAAAAGTGTATTTAAAATTACTTTTGGCTTTTCCGCATAGTTTCATGATAACCACGCAACTAATGATAGCTAGGTTTAATAAGGATATTACAAATTGTGGTTAAATCAACAATCAACTAACGTCATTAGTGAATGATTAATAGTCGTTCAGCAATTTCTGATCAAAACTGATCGACGATTTGTTGAAACAACATCAAAGTAAATCACTTTTTAAATAACTGTTGGAACATATCGCTTTGAGTTTCAAGGTTAATGTTGAAAGTAACTAACACATAATAGGCATTCCTACACAAAGTATGAGAAGGACCTACCTTGATACATATAATGGCGTACGGCGGTATCTTCGCCAATACGTCTGATTATTGCAATATCCCTAAGGGTCCGACCGTTTGAAGCGATCTTTGAAAAGACCCTTTTCAATATCTAATGGATACCTATTTTTAAAACCGCTATAAAAGAGTTGAATCTTTAATAACGACATCTTTAGTGTATTACTTCTTCACTCCAGTGATTTTCAGTAACGAAATCTTTTTAAAGTATAAATACAATAATGTTTTATATTGTTAAGGTGACTAAAGTCTATAATCACGGACTATTATCGACTAGATCAACTATTATCGTGACGTTACAGGAGAATTTAACAATAAATAATGAATTACTTCCTGCTTCAATAGTAGGTATTGATGTGGGTAAACGTATACTAATTACGTACAGTTAAAATTCAATTAATTCATATTTAGCAATTATGTACCTATTTTGACTGAGCAATTCTGCAATTACGCTACAGATCATCTCATAATATACAAACATGTCATCGGTACTGGCTTACAAAAGCGAAGTAATTTCCATAATATATAAGCAGGGTGAGGCGGGTGTCAGCATCGTGTTATCGGGATTAGAAGACACGTCAATCTGGTCACAATAATGAACAGTTCGTTAGTGATATCACAGCGGGTGGCAGGTTGCCGCGCCACTGATTCATCTACATTACAAAAGGAAACTTCCAGGCGGACGCCAAACAAAGCGAACTCCGTAATACACAAACACCAACTTTCCCCTCTCTTATGTACATTATATTGTACTATGTGTCGTAATTCCTTATTGGAGTAATTTGCAACAATAACTCGGTCCCCAACCTTTATTAGTTACATGGACTTTCGGTACATAGACTAATTGTTTGAACAGATACGCTTATTTTATTATACAGTTTCTACTTCCGAGAATACAGTTTAAAATATACCTAACATCATATTAAATTATTCCTCTCATAAATTACTCAGTTTTCAACTCCACGCGTAACAACAAGATTGAAAAGCTAAAAATATAATAAAGTTAAGAATCTCAAGGGAATTCCTCGTAACCATATCGACTGGAAACTTTCACACCGCGGGTTAATTAAGCTATAACTCATATTGTTTAAAATTTGTGAAATAATACGGCTGAAAATAAGTTGTAACATTATAAAGAGCGATGTTAGCTGAACGGGTACAAGAGCGTCGAAAGTGAAACGTTTCATAAATCACCTGCGTTGGACCCTTGTCAGGCTGCGTGGCCAGCGCCAGTAAATAACAGGATCGCCGCATGCCGCTGACGAGGCATTATGTAGCCCTGCGTAGCCGCCTACGAACCTTCGTAGCTCGTAGCCCGCAGACCGTAACCCGTAGCGGCCGTAGCCCGTAGCGCCACCCCAAGTCCCATGCCTCAAGTTCGCGTACCCAACACCATTTTGTTAATTAAAACACAAACATGATGATACATCTTAATATAACATTTCTTAAATAAGGATTTATTACCAAGGACATTGGTTTTGTTGAACTCTTTTCACCACTAATTTTATTACCTACTTATTTATTAGCGTTTAAACCTAGCATGTTTATATGCTACAGTAAAATGACAACTATTAATAATTACTTTTTGAAGTCAGTTGAAAATACCATGAATGTACTGTGGCATAAAGACTACACAACGATGTCGATCAAAGTAACACGGCAACAACTTAGTTTGTAACGTTTTGTGTAACAACTCCACAAGAGCACAAACAACTTTAGTGACGTCACCAACTCACCAAGCTACACTGAAAGTGCTGTTACCAGAAACTCGAGACTCCTAACTATAACACAGCAACTTCATAAACCGAAGGCAAGTTTCGTTACTTCAACATTGTTCCTCCCCCAATTTTCTCCAACGTTACTAAAATATGGTGTAAAATATTACGCCAATTATTCAATATCAACAAAACTGAACAGCTACCAAGTTTTGATTAATTGCTGGGAGAAACACCTTGCAATGTTTTAACAAAAGAATTTAATTAAGATTGTAATTTACTGTGCCGTTATATTAAATGTGAAGAGTAAGTACAAGTCACCATATTTATAAGTTTACTAGACTATAAACACGCTGGTCTATAGGCACTAGGATTACCGACGACTACTTGGCAAACTGTTAATGGATTACTGTAACTATTTTAATAGAACACTTGTGGTTGATGTTACACAGTATAGATTCGTATCGAATGTCCGACTAAAGGATTTACGAGATACTAAACGGTTTGCTTTATAATAGATACATACTTCATTGATTAGTATTATGCTAGCGTAACTCGATACTATGAGTAGTAGATGTGGTATAATAAACGTAAACTATCTGCGTTGTCTTCACACGAAACAAAAACCATTATTCTGTGTTCACTTTATTTATTTTACACACACAATATTTCACCAAAATTAACACAAACTCCTATTGTTTCAGTTCCGCTACATGATGAAGCTTGTGTCAGTGTCTGTGGCTTGCGGGCCGCGGTGTTTGAGCGGGAACCTGCCGCTGCCAACCTTCAAACACTACGTATACTTCATGTTCGCGCCAACTCTCCTTTACAGAGATCAATATCCCAGGTAGATTAACTGCACGTTACTTGCAGAAACGCTCCACGTCTCACTAATATCCTGAGTTAGGCAAAGGCGAGGTGTTTGCCTGAATCCAATTATAGCTATTGAAGCTTACACTTGCTTAAAGAGCAGGGGAGCGATTGAGGTGGTTCTGTGGTTATCAAAAAAATAAAGAGTAGATCTTCAATTACAAAAAATATGTAACAAAATAATTAAATACCTAATTCTATTAAACCAGTTACTAAACATACGATGAGAGACTGAGTATGTCTCTAGTTTGCGCTAAAATGGGCAGTGCACCTATTGTAATATTTTGGCTATCGATTAAGTTGTAGGTATTCTTAATGAATCTATTTTAGTACGTACGAAGTTTATATAATTGCAATCTACTCAAGCATTATAAAGCAAATAATTCCTAATTTGTATTGAACTAACTCTCCACAACAAACTAACTCAAATATCAGCGGGCTAATATGTATCGCATTCAGAATACGTGATGATGCCTAATTAAAGCCGCAAATCCACAACACTTTGAAGTAATATGTGTTAATATTGGAGCGAGGCTGTCACGATACCTGTCCTATACAGTCGTGAGATGGTAATTCCACATAGTTCAGTCGGCGGCGGTATTTGATTTGGTATTTGCGGCTGTAAATCGCTCGATCGTCGCTTCCCCGCTTGTATTCATACCTAGTTGTCATTACCGTCGCATCCATGCTTTCACGATGAAATTCATACCCTGCTGTCATTAAGCTTGTGAAGCGAACCGTCGTGTTCACTTTATTTACAAACATCAACCAACGTGTGTGTAAGGTGAAATATTATTCTCTAGCGTGTTAATGAATCATTATATCTATCAGAAGCGTTTATTAAACCTCAAAACATAAATAGACTTTTACATGCATGTAATTTTGCACGAATATGTAATTTATGACGTGTAAGAAAGTGTAACACGCAAGAAACTCGATTATTATAATATTAGAGTAATGTGGCCTTAGAACTATAAAGTACAGGCTTTTGGGTTCGATTCAGATTACGACACAAGTCTGTAATAGGGATGATAACAGGGTATGAAAATTAATAAAATAATTAGTCCGTCAGTTAGGTAATGAAAAAATATCTATTAGACACGTTTTTTTTATTTTGTCTGATAAGAAAACAATACTTAGATAAAATGAATCAAAGTTTAGGAATGGGACCTACCATAGTAGCTATACCTAGCTACGTCATTTTAGAGTATAAATCTTACTCAAAAGTGATATCATGCGATATTTCAAATCAATATATCTTCAAAACTATTCGTTTCCGAATAACGTGTCTAATGTTTTTAAATAATCTTCCAAACGGACATTAAAAAAAAATTGTCATCTGCCCTATTGGGCCATATTGTGTCGTGAATAACAGGCATTATAATAATGAAATCAACTGATCAAATATTGTTGTCTATAAAAACAGAACGAAGAGGATAAGATGGGGCGTGGTGGTATTCCATTTCCTGGAAGTTGCCGCCATTATATTCTACAATTGTTTTCTCTGGGAGAGATTCATCATGCCCTACTGGTCTGACTACGGGAAGGAAAGGACGGTGAGTTAATCCCTCTTTTAATTACACTTTGCTTTTTATGGGATGGTGCACGATAATTTATACCTCGTGTTACCGTTTTTAATGGATTAAAAAGTCATTAGTTAAATATTATGGGAGGAAAATGCAAATATCTATCGATTATTTGAGGAAGACGTTTTTAGTACAATACTGTTACCTTCGAGTGGGAGATGACAAGAAAAAAGGATTACTTTAAATAGTTTGTTTGTTAGGATTACTTCTTCCAAAGGATTCTCCTTCTCCTTCAGGGTAAAGTGAAGAAGTACTATGGCTTTTTAAAATAAAGATTTAGATTTAGAAGTTATACCGATGATTATATTTCATACTTACGTACTTTGTTTTGAGTTATAGGTGGAAGCAGGCACGCTAGTCCGAGGTATGTTTGCGTGTGTGCTGCCGGGAGTGATATCCTTCCTATGTGGGTTCTACTGTGTGCTGCACGCCTGGCTCAACGCCTGGTCCGAGATGCTCAAGTTTGGAGACCGGCTATTCTATGAGGTAGGTAGAGGTACCTTCTCAGTACCTACTCTCGAAGATTTAATGAGATAGATAGGTGTCTGTACCAACATTTGTAAAAGTAGCTTCGTGCACCATAATATCAATAGATATTGTTTAAGAACAAGTGATGAATACCAGTTACTACTTAAGTAGATATATTTGTACTAGATACATGCAGTGAAGTGGCTAGACTGAAAAAAACTATTGTACGTTCAGTATGCTCATCTCGTCGAATATCCATAATGTTCCTTTGTTAAGTATAAAAATACTAACGTTATTTACCCATTATGCGTACCCACACACATTATAGTACCCTATTTTAGTCCAAAGTATACCAAGTAAATGTTAATAGCGGGACCATAACGTCACTAGGTAATAGCTAGGTAACCTGAGTAGTAGCATGATATGAAGTGAGTGCCCCTAAGTACCTTCCCAACAGACCGCTGGCACTCAAGCTTGTCAAGTAATGTACATAGGTACCTAATGTAAATAAAGACGTTAAGTAATAAACAGTGTTACTCCACCAAAAGAGGCAAAAGTGCAACATGTTCTTGTGTCTTCATTTGTTTTCCTTATTTTTACATGCTTATTTTTATGTGTTTATAAACCTAAAGTAGGCATTCACAACATAAAACAGGAAAGTTTACTGAGATCCATATAGGCACTTAAAATTTATTTTGTCGGAAAAGTAGCCTTGAGAATCTACGTCATGTTATCACCGTACATTAACGTTGGCTTATTATATTAATTGTTTATACATCTGCAAAGGGAAAGGTGCTATGTTTTAGCATCCTCGATTCGGACAAAATCAGTATCACATACGCTTCAGTTTCAGTACCAAACATTCCTACGCTCATTAGACCGTCCAATGTTTTCGAATGCCAGAATTCTCAATAATAGCACAATGTTTGGAATTGTGCTCGTTGTTTAGCTGTGCTCGCTTCCTACTGCAGCAGCACTAATTAGATAACTGGTGAAACTGTATAAAGGTAGATGTTGTTTAAAAACCTAAAACAGTTCGATGTTTGTTTTCATTCACTGAACGAAACCATGATAATATTGATTCATCAATGAAAAACTCTTTACATCTCTGTAGGTGCAACCGAAACCAATGATTTAGACTAGAAAACTTGTTTTATGCTCTGCTACGCTTAGCAAATTTTAATTGAGACCTTAACCAACCAATATAGCCTATATGTTCTTGTGAATTTATTTGCAGGACTGGTGGACGACTTCTCAATTTTCCCTATACTATCGTCGCTGGAATCGAGTCGTACACTCCTGGCTGCGAGACCACATCTACATTCCCCTGGCGCCACATGCTGGACGTCCTCTAGCCACATATCTCGTCTTCTTGGTAAGAAGAGACAACAGTAGCTGTAAAACCGACCATCATTCCAAAATGTGCTTAATTATTAACCGTAGGTACGTAAAGTGTTTTGCGCTCTTAGATGGATAGTGCAGCAGAGATGTGTAGGTATATATAGATACTAACAGTCACCATTTGCGAAGAACATCGTTTATCAAACTAATTGATATAAGATCTTGATCCGGTGCTAGTAATTCATCTCTAATTGAACGCCGACCTACATGAACCGTTAATTATACATTAACGAGGTCAACAGCCGAGCACACTCCACCTACTTAGACAATTGACAATAACTATTGTTGACTGCACTGGAAACAGAAACTGCACAACAATAACTAGGTGCAAATTGTAATAACTGATTAACATTTTGATAAAAGTAAAATCCGAACCTTCAGACCATTGAAATACGGTACCTAATCAGTTTTAATAACAAGAGATGAGGCATTAGGCAAAATGCTTTTTCTTTAGCGGTCAAAAGATAAACAAAGATCCTGTGATTCACGTCAGGGGCAAAGGGCCGTGCATGTGACAAGATAAGAGGCTCCCCGCTGGAAGACCGGTGCTGTCTTCCCATTATATCTGGCTCTCGTGAACAATGACCGGAGATATGACTATGATTAAACTCGCGTAAACATTATTATCTTACAAATTAAAAAGGAATCTTCGATGCACCAAGCCTACTTAGTGAAACCTATACCTATTTAGTATTACCCATTTTCCTTTCAATATCGATACTGATGCGGAAATTAGGCAACTCTCACTCAATGTTGTACATTATGTTGGTAATTGGTATATAAATATACATTAATCGGGTTCTCTTTGTATGATTACAGGTTTCAGCAATAGCCCACGAGGTTATCCTGGCGTTGTCTTTTGGCTTCTTTTACCCAGTTCTTCTGGTGGAATTTGGTTTAATTGGTGTCGTGATGGTGCCGCTCACAGCGAAGAGTGGCCAGCTCTTCCCTAACGTGTTCAATTTGATCATGTGGCTCGGTTTCTTCATAGGAAACGGTAATTATAGTAACTGCGTAATTAGCAACTAGCAATTATTAGGTATAATGACGTCAAACCAACGTTGTTTTAGAAGGATGTGTGTGTAGGAATCTGTTTCCTGAATCAGCACAATCGCATATCACAAATCAAACATTTGTTACATAATGATTTTTAGTTGATTCTAGAAATGAATGAATTTAATTACAGTGTTGCAGGCGTACATAGGCCGCGGTAACCGCTTACCATAGATATAATATTTCTGTGCCGCTTAACATCAGGTGCCCACATGGCCCCATGTGCTTTTTTGCCACCGTCGTGGTATAAAAAAAATTGTATGTTCTAGACCCGTTATCTACCTATACTGTATTTGATGATTGCAAAGAGAACCATCTAAAACCTAGATTGTAGGTTCACAATAGCCTCGTTTATTTGCAAATCGTTTTATTATTGGACATTGAATGCACTAACAGTGGCTAACAGATTGATGCTCGATTCGATGACTTTATTATAAGTCTTTCTAAGACTGTGTATTAGTCCCCAGAGATAGATGTTTTAGAAAAGGAAATCAATTTTAGATTTTCTGTATTTTATTAATTTTCATAACTACCTGTATAGGTGCAAACTACTACTGTATGGTGCTAGGTACCTACTACGACAAAGACATATGCAGTATAACATGATAGTGTTATCTTAGATCTATCATATTAATCATACAATACGTACCTTTCTGAGTACTTAGATGAATAGCTACCTAATATTTACCAAACTGAACTGCCAATCAAAGAAACACAAGTACCTATAAACTTAAGAAGTTTACGTACCAAACAACCTGTCTACCATTATTTCACTTTACGAATCTGTTCAAATAAGATAACTGGAAACTGGCGTTTAATTTCCGTAATCGGTTTATTTTGTTCGTAAACAGAAAATGAAACTTGAATTTAAATTTAATACTTATTATTACGTGTTGTTTACGAATAATAAATCTGTGTAATTGGAAAGCTTAAATAGATTCACTCCCTATTACACAGGAGATAAGTCTTACAATATTAAGTATACCTAGGTATCTATGTATCTACTTGGAAAAATAAGTGCCACATTAAATATCTTTAATTATTTTATGTGCATTGCGAGTCGCGGGTTCGATTCCCACATGAAATATTTTTTGTATGTGACCTACAAATTGTTGTCGGGCTCCAGATATAGGGATATAAGAGATGCGATGTTCAGTAGACTACTATAAATGTAAATGTTGTATCTATGTTTCGTAAGTCAAAACGTAGTTTGAATAAATACTTACCTACATTTTCTTTGTTTTAGGAATTCTGTGGAGTTTATACCCGATGGAATACTTCGCCCGGCGGAATTGTCCGGTATTGGAAACCGACAGCTACTTCATTCCAAAGTCATGGTCCTGCCCAGAAGTCATTCTGAAACCTAACTGGACATTCCAGAATCCTTTACGGATATTTACAAAATAGACTACAATATACAAAGAACTACCTAGTGAATTTATTTTTATACTTTTTTACTTTTATAAAAAACTGTGTACATTTATGCATTGTTTTTCATTTATTAATATTAATTTACGTCTCAACAAACTTATAACAAAATAAATAAGGACTGTTTCAGAAAAATATAAATGAAACAAAAGTTTTTTGAAATCATTTATTGAATATAAAAAATATTAAATTTAAAATACCTACAATAAAATTTGACATATCGTACTCAAGTAAATAATTGTGTTAAGATTATCAGAACAAATTGTTTGTAACTAGAATATTATTGTTTTTTTTTGTTTGAATGTACAGAAACAAATTAACCTACGGATAATAAAATAAATTCTATGGCCGCGTTTTAACTAAAATAATATTAACCAAAATATCTTAATCTCATGAATCGAATTCTACACTTGCTAACATCGAGTATATTTCATTGTTTACAACTAAATACGTAATACGTTTATATATCAATTATATATTATGAAAACGAGTGTAGTCGGGCAAAACAGGAATGTAGCCAGTTACCTATTGAAGTTAAATCGTAATATATATCATCACATTAAAGGAGGGAATCTAAAATAGTATTCAATTGACCTAAATAAAAGATTTGATATTTGTATAAATATTGTATAGCTATAGGAAAAATATTACGAACATTTACCTTCAGCTACTGCCCACTGTATACCTACCATATTTCCATAGAGAAGCACCGTGTTAGCAGCGACACACGGCACGCCAGTCTGTTAGTTACACTTCTATCCGACCACATCGGCATTACTTCACAGCCCTTACTGACTAATACAAGCACTACAAATAACGATATTACACTTAACATAACATATATCTAATCAATTGATGGAACACTTACATTACGAAATCATACAAAATTATTGCAACTACATATTCAAAACTGTGCCAATTGTGTACTTTAGTCAAATACCTAAAAGAACTAATAATTATGTGAGACACGTAAAGCTAAACACTTTAGATCCAAAGGTAACAATGATAATCGACAAAGTCCTAATATGTGCAGCGTCAGACTTTAAGTAACAATTATGTTAATGTTTGTATATTTTGTTTAAAAATTTTCTACTAAATGCACGGCAGTTGGGGACTTTGCGGTTATGTATTAACAATTCGATATATCATTTTATTAAACAGCGGGAGTGCGATCCAATTCCTTGAATAACGACGACGACATTCTGCAAGAGATAAAATAAACAAATATTAGTACACAAACAAACAATTACTACATCATTTATCTGTGTATGTGCAAGCAGTTGACATTTATACACTAGGTACATTATTACTTATTATATAGTAGTAAAATTACAGCAAATAAATTGATACTTATGTTTTAAAATGGTCAAGTGTGAGAAAAGTAAAAAATTTGCAACAGTGCAGTGTGAGATCTGACTACCCAGTTTTTAATTGACCACATCTTGTGATTATAGAAATAAACAACTATAACACAGCTAGAAAAAAGGAGGTCTGTAACTGTATATTAACACAAGTACACCTCTGCATACCTTCACAAACAACAGAAATGATGACAAGTTCAGTAAAATAAAGTACAAGTACTATTAAATTACACTGCCATATACAGAACATTGTAACATAACAAATAAATAACTCACTTGCTTATCATGTGCTGATATATGTAGCAGGGTATGATTGTGATGTTTACCACTGACGGGCTGGCTTCAATCACTCTAGATATTTCCTTATCTTTCATACCCACTACATTTACAGTGTTGATCTCCAGTAACTGGTGATCAGTCAACAAGCCATTGCGGGCCGCAGATGAATCCTTCACAAGCCCAACTATCCTGCCATCTTTGAACTGGAAACCAACATGGCCAAGAGAATCCTTGTGAAGAGTTATTGTCCTCTCAAATGGCCTGAAATTACAAATCAATATTTAAATTGTCCACTTAAATAACAAATAAATTATGAACAGAATAATTAAAAAAAAACATGTGGGTAATTAGCTATCAGACATACCTATCACGAACAGCCATAGAGATTCCATTAGCAGGAGATTTCTTCAGTATTGCGTGACATTGGTCCATTGTCATTCCAGCTAGTGCTATGTTGTTAATCTCCAATATTTGGTCTCCAAATCTGAGCCCAGCCATTGCAGCGGGACTGTTGGCAGCAACATAGCACACAAATATCCCATTGTTGACTGAGTGCAGTCTCAAACCACACTTTCCATCTTTGTCTTTACACAATACAACTGGTCTTATAGCTCCGGTAACCGTAGCCTTAGCTAAAGTTGTTGATTGAGATGACAAAGGTGCTATCAGGTTACTCACAGTTCCGCGTGGCTGAACCTGTTGATGTTGAAAAAGTTTACAAACAGGTATTCTCTCAGTCATTGCACAACAAAATGGCTATTGCAAGTTTTTATTTTATTGTAGTGAAAGACATAGCTAAAAAAATAATAGAATAGGTATGTTGGTTAATGAGAGTCCTGTTGTGTCTACATAATTAATGTCCTACTAGAAAAGATTAGTGAGTATGCATAAGAAAGTTGCGAAATGTTTTTTACACTGGAAACACAATCATCACACTTTTACCAAAAAATCTAATTAGAACTTACTGTTTGGACTTGATATTCAGGCATATTCAAAGCAATAACATCACTAGACAATTCGAGGCCCATATAGTCTCCCAGCGCTGGGTAAACATGAGCTGAAGGAGCGCTGGGCACAGGGGCGGATGGTGGCAGGCTGTACAAAGGCGGTGCTGCATGGTGCTGGGCCATTTGAGCCCTCGCCATGCTATCCACCTTCATATCTTCCAAAGACGGATACAAAGACATCCTGAATATCTAAAATAACACTTAAAAATCCCCAAAACTCGGGACGTTAAATCGACGTCTGCGACTATAACACTAACACTGTATGACTAATTGGAAACACAATGAATCATAACAAAAACCCAATTCAAAAGTCCCAATGAAATTGATAATGGTAAATGAATGAGATAGGATTAGAGATGTGTCATACTCATAGAATTTTTGACGTATGCCCAATAAGTGAAAAACATTTCGTATTACTAATCGAGATTACAAATTGTTGAATGATTTTTGTACCAGAATAAAATTTCACGATGTCATGATGCTCGTAATTTACATTTTTTAATAATTGTTTATTTAATTTACATAAAATAACGTCGAAAACGATCAGTGGGAACATTAAACAGTGTAAAACACTTTTCTTTGTTAAATAATTAATCATTTCTGACAATAGTATTTATTTATTAGAATCCTGATATTCAATTAATATTGTTTATCTTAATATAATATAAATGCATTATAATACTTCTAGACTAAACTGAGAATTATTTACGGTTAATTTTAGTCGATTCTGAAGTCCTTCACTATTTAATGACAGCTGTCACTTGAGTCAATTTGTTAATGTCAATAAAGACAGTGTCACTCAAAAATATGTCAGATCGTGAAACATCTTATGATGGTGTGTTAGTATTAATAAAATGATTATTCACTAATAGTATTAAATTTAAATAAGATTTAAATGAAATAATTTACATATAAATTATATCCTTAAAGTTTTTAGATTATGGAAGCAGCAGCTACTAAGCGAACACAGAGGTAAAGCTACAAATTAGTGTCCTTGCCAAATGAAAACATTGTTTACATCTTGATGATTAAGAATTTATTAATTCTCTGGACCACTTGACTTTTATTAATCATTATCTACTATTTCAGTCGATGCCGGGAATGGGAACGAGCTAGGCGTAACAAATTCAACGACGCAATAAATAAACTTGGAGAAATTGTCAAAGCTATACAGAAAAGCAATAACCCAGAGGATTGTGAAGATGTACAGTATCCGAAAGTTGAAATAATTCAGAAGGCCATAATATACTTAAATAATTTTGTCCAGGAGAAAACACAATGGAGTAAGTTTTGTTATTTAAATATCTGTCAAGTTCAGCTAGATACGATATCCAAGTGTCGTTTTTGTTAATAAGATAATATTCTAGTATTGCGGACTTAAAATACTTACGGCTTATAGCTCCGGTAATGAGTAAAATACTTTGTACTCTATAACTGTGTAGGAAACTTAAAGCACTATAGTGCTCTTAACTGTTGTCTCCACTAACTCCGTTATAGACCTTATTTCCGATGTTTAGATACTACTTTTGTATGAACTTGGGTATAATATATCAACATAATTAAGACTATGAGCATATTAACTCAAAATTTCACATAGTGGTTTCCCTTTGCAGGCAAGTCTTTAATATCTAAGTAATTAGAGCAATTACCGTTTGGAACTAATTTCAATATAATTATCACTTACAGAAGCAGAAATATTAGCCTTACAAGTAGAGCTTGATACTGAAAAGAGTAAGAAATCACAGACAAAAGATGCATCGACTCAAATTTGCATCAACTTAATCAAAAAACGTAAAGGTGAGATATCATTTCATTCAATTTAAACTGTCAAACACTGAGCGGTCACTGGTGACCGCAACCTATTGTTCTTTAATTGTGTCTATAAATACGGTACTCGACGAGTTAATGCTTTAAAGTACAAACAATAACATAGGTACCCAATATATTATTTTTCTCTATGCAATACCGCTAATAGATACCAGAAAATCCAATAACATTTGCCTATTAAGTTTAGTTCTTGTTTACAAAACACCACACAATTTTCCTATTGTTTATAAATAATATAGTAACCCCGACTTTACACCGATGTTAATTCCCAACTTTCCTGATGAACTTTTGGTTATCTTTCTTTCATATTTTACCTATGGTTTCTCCTGGCCATAATGGACAAAAGAAAATATTGATTTGTTCTCTGCCTGATGCAATACCAAAAAAAAATGGGATTTATGTTTAAACAAATGTGTAGTACAAACCTGTAGTAAACCTACAGTGTTTAACAGAAAGAACTTTGCATTTTAAATAAACAATTAAATTCATATTTAGTACTATTGCCTAACTTCTTTTGTAGTGAAAGATATCCTTTCTCCATTTCAGATAGCAAATATGTAAAGCTCTGCAGGTTGAAGAAATGTAAAAACAAACAAGAAAAGCCACTAATTAAGATACCTCCTCCTGTAGAAACTGCGACAAAGTTACCAATACTCCTTCCAAGATCTAATAAAAAGGGTAAGTTATGTTAAGTTAGCAATATTTACGTAGACAGTGTTAGGATGCGTTCACATTTAGCGTATGTGTCGCTCGCGGACCATTCGCCAGATGTAGACGCACCCTAAGGTGCCTTAGATAATAGGGTTATTATTCCCATAAAAGTATAGGTGTACTTAGACTCTGTATGTCAACCAATTTGTCTTGCCAGTAATTAATTACTATTAACTAAATTAAACATTCCAAAATATTTTAGTTTATATTACCTTAAAATCAATCCTAGTAGCAAAAACAACTTTTTATTTTATTACAGGTCCAGAAAACACGATAGTGGTACTGCCAGCAGCGCCATACATATTTCCTCAGAGACCACTGTTGTTCCCATCCGTACCGCCCGCCATAGTTTTAATAGACCAAAATTTACAAACACTAAATAAAGCAACAGTTCCTATAGTTAATAGAAATAATGGAGATATCACAAAGACCACAATGGTTAATATTCTTCCAATATCAGCATACTCCCGTCCACTTTCGGCCACCAAAAGTAAAAAGAGTAATGTTAAATTAAAAAATGATATTAGCAAAAAATCAACAAAAAAGATTAAAACTGTTGGTACTGTAAAAGAAACACCAAAAACTGCAGACATTAAAGACAATCCGGTGGTGTCCAAGGAAAATAAAACCACTGAATGTTCCAATAATGAAACTAAACAGAATGATAAACTAGTCTTAAGTAAAGATAAAAAAATCGAAAGCAGTAAAGTCGTAACGACAGACCAACCAGCTAAAGCAGATAATATTCAAAATGAAGTAAATACACATATTGGAAAATCAGATAGTAAGACAAATGCTCCTGATAAAGTAAGCAGTAAAACTGGGGACCATGAAATGTCTAACAATATTGACAAACCAACGTGTACAGAAACAGTCGCTAAAGAAATGCCAACTCCTATAGTGGCATCAACAGCGACAGCAACAATAACAGATACTAATAATGTACCTAATACAAATGAAGCCAACAAACCTAATAAAATATTAAATGAAAAAGAAATTATACCTGAAAGTAAAGAAAGTTCAAAATTGCCTAACATTTTACCTTTGGATACAACATTATGTGATAATGTTGTTGATGGAGGTAACGCTCGTCTTGAACTTGCGGAAGAATTCCTAGCTACTTCGCCCACAGCCGCATTTCTTATGTCTTTCCCACTAGTCAGTGGAAATAGGGCAGATAGTCCTGCCGAAGAACATGGCCACAACACAGCCCAAGCCATCACTAAAGATAATAACAAAAGAACTGAATTAGTGCCTCCACCTATACCATATTTTGAGAAGCCAAGCAATAACGATATTAAAGTAAAACCAGTAGCCAACAAACTTCCCGAAACGTGCAATACTGTTAATAAACAAAACGAACAACAAAAATGTGTTAACGTAGTGACGAAAGAGTCCAGTAACATAACTTCTGTAACTAAAAGCTTCAACACGGCATCAATGCCGAATGTTTCCAATGAGAACCCATTTTTAAATCTGTCCGCACCTTCTATAATTACAACCAATTGTACATTAGGCGATACCACGTTTGGTTTAGATTTTGACTGTAATATTAGCAAGTCGATGCCAAGTCAATCCACTGGCTATGCAAGCAGTAACAACTTCTTCTATAAGGGCGATCCATTCAGCAAAAGTGCTATTTACAGTACCAGCAGTATCACATCCACTCATGAATTTAATGGACTCGGTCTTTACCCCTGTGCCATGGAAAAATATACATCAAAAAATAAACCTGAATTTTCTGGTGTTGACGACAACCTTATGAAGATTGGATCGTCAAGATTGACGTACGATATTGACTTAGGTTGGTCACACAAGGGTTTGGATTTTGTCAACTGTCCTACTACTACGAACACGTTCAATAAGGACACGATTTTAACAACTACTGCTACACCTTATACGTCATCGTATAATCCATTTAACCCTGATTTTCATGTCCCGTTAGTGCCAAATTCCAATAAAAAAGACAACTCTAACAAGCCTACCTCATCGTTTGCTGACACAATCACTAGCTTTTACTCCCAACCTGCTAGTGCTAACTTATGGACTGAAGACGCACCCTTCTATACGAACAGCAATATGTCCAAATCTTTAACTTCTAAAAACCAGACTTATACAACGTTTGACCCAGTACATACTAACGTAAATGTAAAAATAAATACTAACAAACATTACGAACCGAAAGTGGCTGAAGTTAGTGTGGAAAGTGGCATAAAAACTGGCAATAACGCCGTGACTCAACATATTCCCGAGAAATACACTAAAAAGTCTCCAAGTAAAATGCATATAAACTGGATGACTTCTGAAACGAGATCTGTGCAAAATAATTGCAATCCTATACATCCGCAGACTAAAGAACCTCATAAAGCAACTTACAATCAAATTGATCATCCAGTCAATAAAAAACAGGATCATAACGAAGGCAATTATTTTCCTATAGCGATGCATAACTTTCCACCGCAAGCACCTCAAGACGAGTTTCAAGTGTGGCCTTCTACAAGACCTTTGGGAACCACAGAGATAAGCATAGATCCGCCGCCAATCAACTTACCAACCTTAGTTGGTGATCTAGCCCTAGGTCCTCATGATAAGAATAGAAAAGTGGATGCAACTAATCGTGGAGTACCACACAGTGACATTCAGAACTGTGGTAATTTTCTGTCAGTCACTCAGCTTATGAATCGTTCGACTGATAATATGCATTCCCGGTATCAAATTCCAAATATTGACACTTCGAAAACTGGCAGTGGGAAACAAAATACAAACCACTTCACGAACGACAACAATCGTAAAACTATGCCACACTTAGAAAATCATATGTCACAACCGTGTTATGTGTTTAACGATCCGAAATTAGTAAATACCTATGAAACCATGACACATAGTCAATTTGCGCCAACTAAAACAAAGTCCAATAGTAAAACCGAAAAGTCTTCAAAAACTCAAAAGAACAACAACTACTCAACGGAAGCAATATTAAGAGGAGCGAACGCAACGCAAAAAATTCAAGATAATACAACTAAATTCATGATGGCACCTCAGAAATACACAGATTTCACTACCCCACAAGATAGTGCTGTAGCTCAAGTTTCTCATTTCCCACCAATTCTGGATTACTCCGACAATAGTTACGCTTCACAACAATTTTCAGGAACGACATTATACAATACCACTACCAATACCATGTCAAATTCTTTTTACACAAACTTTATGCCTGGCAGTAGCAACTTGATGTCAAGTAATTATGCCAGTGGACCATTCACTGGCGACTTTATTGATTACAATCAGTCAGCCGAATGCAATTATGGGAATCATAAATATGAAGAACTGAAAATGAGAAATAATCCTACAATGTTCCAATCTGAGAAAGTACCTCCCACGTATAAAAGTTCGAGGAGAGAATCGGCAACTAAACATAAACTTGAATGTTCCAAAAAAGAATCGAGTAAAAAGTATCAAAGCAAAAAAGCAAAGATCACTAACGAGGTGGAAGAATGGAACGATCCACATTTGTTCTGGCAAAATAAGACATTGAATAAGAAGCATCCGAATTTAATGGGTGAAGAGTTACCTTTCCCGAACTACGTGGGCAATCAAATGCCTTCGCAGTACCAGGCAGACTTCTTCAACAGTCACCTGATGCCTGCAAACGTACAGGGTATGGGGCACAACGTGGACAGATCATTGGCCAGCTTTCCTGTTACGTCCCGAGCCAACTTCAATTTGAGTACTATATTTCCAGAAATTACTATGGTGAGTGTTTCAGTGTAATTTATTCGATCTGAAGATCACAATTCTGATCAGAGTAGCTTCGTGCATATACCAGACTGATATATTCCACTTACTGGATAACATACGGACATTTTATTCACATTTGAACTGATCGCGTCAAATAATTTGTTTCAGAAAGTGCAATAATCAACAAGGAGATTCAACTGCCCGTGATGGTTATACGACTAGATTTTAAGAAAATAATAATTTATTAAATTTTAGTATAAATTTTATGATGTTATATTAAATAATTTTATTATAACAATTTTATTATTGTTTCTCTTTAAAACCTCACTAATGTCTTATTTCAATGACATAATAATAATTAATGATCTTTTCTGGAAACCCATCGTTTGTAAAACTAAAAATACAGTTGTTTTCATATAAAAAGCGGTTATTGCACAGATATGACCATAGGTAAGAGAAGAACAGTTAAACTAATTTTGTTCCTTTACGCATCTATTGAGATTATAGGTAGTATATAATCTAGATTAGTACCTACTAATCTAGAAATAAAGTCATCTGGATCATGTTTTAAAAAACTGATTTCAGACAGAACGTAAACATGTTGATTTTGAACAGATGAATTCATCATACAAATATTGGTACGGATATACCTTCGGTTAAAATAAAGAAACCTAATAAATTTTGTATAGAATGGTTGTTTGATATTTAACTACTGATGTCAAAAATAACTTTTTGAAACATTTTAATGCACAAAACGCAATCCCGACTGGCTTTAAATGTCATAAAAGTCAGCATTTTTAAAGATAAACAAATTTTTATATTTCTTTCTTTTCTAGTGGTTGTCTTGAAGTTAATTCCAGTCATGAGTTAGATCAGAGACGCTGATACTATTATAATGAGATCGTCTGTCGTCTTTCTAGACAATATACTGAGATGTTTTGTTTTTGCGAACTAAGTTTGCAGTCCCTGTCGTAAGGATGCCTATCTTGCAAATCTGGATATATTTACGTGTGGTGTGATAGATATTTCATGAACAGACAGATGAAATAATGTCTCAAACTTTGCCCTAATGGCAAAACACGGTTATAAATCGTAACTAAGTGTTTTCGTCTTAAGTAGTTGGAATTGGAAGCCTCAAGGTATTTACGAGTAAGAATCTATATGATTGAATGAAGAAGGTAGGTAAAACAAAAGTAAGTTGTGATTCAAAAAAGGACAGTACCTATTACTTCTTTTCGTAGTTTCGCTCTTGGTCGTGGTCACGTTGAAGCCCCCAACACAAATATGGCCATATTTGTGTTGGGGGCCAATACTGCTTTCCTCACGATCTTCCGCCATCTCTTCCACTTTGTTGATTGTCTGATACCTATTAAGGAACCTTTTATTCCAAGTCTGACCTAAATTCAGCAATATTGAGTCATTTAAATAATGAAAATAACTTCTCTGGACCGAGAATGTACTTACGTGTAAATCTAGACAAACCCATCGTGCTTCAATATCTTAATAGTTAAAGTGTGGAGAGGAGGAAGTTTTAATCCATTCGATTTAAGTCGTTACACCGCGGGAGTTTGTGTACTTTGCGGGGCGTCGTGTCACCGCAGCGTGACTTAATGCTGATAGCGCTAGCTTTCAACTGGCAAAGTGGAAATCAGTGTGCAATACGCTTCTAGGAAAAAAAAACTATTTAAAAATAAGTCTGTTGTAGAAATATAATGCACTTGAGACTCTTGAGAACATCAGACGATGATACTTTTAAAAATAGCTAAGCACAAAGTTATTCTAGCTGCGAATGAAATAACTGTTTTCGCTTTACTGACACGTGATAAATTGGAAGTCTAGCAGCTGTCGAGCATCTGTGTGACGCACTTTAGGTAAAACAAAGGCAACAATGCACTCACTCGTCCTAATATTTTGTTTTTAACCGTAGGTTCCAAAAACTTTAATTTTTTGGGAAGAAAAAATTGCGATATCCTGTCTTATCACCTAAATAGGTGATTCAACAAAATAAATCGCAAAATAATTACGGCGTCATTATCCTAAACCCAAAGTTAACAATTCTGTTTTTTAAAACACAAAATTTAATTTTAAGAAATTGAGCAGTCTCACTGCTCTCAACCGATCCAATAAAAATATAGATACTTACTAATAAGGTACCGCGATGCTTAAGAACGCTGGAGGATATGGATTGTTAAAAAAATGATAAAGCTTTTCGGAGTAACACCCAACTAAAACTTTATTGAAGAAGGAGCTTGAACTGATGAATGGACACGGTGCAAGATATCTACCTACTCATAAAAAATCCTATGCTCCTGTCTTAAATAGGACTTTAAAATTTGAACTTGCATTAACCCGTCGTGTGTCTAAACGTGGATCGATGCAAGACACAATGTATTTTCTATTGTGTCTCATATACAGGCATTCAAACGGTGAAGAATAAATCTGCAATAAAGCTAATCAAAAACATAAACTTGACATTTTTCTTTATAAATGAATTCAAGGGACCAGTTGAAAGCAATCGAGATAAAGGCATGATTAATAGCTGAAAGATCTTCCTCTTTGTCTTAAGTTTTTGGAATGAGCCCAGCTGATAACGATTTTTTCATTAACCCGTCACTCGAACCCTCGCAGCATTGAATGTGTATCATTTGGCACTTGGCAGCCGCAGAATTGATTCATTTTCTTATCAGTTGGCTTTTGTAGCTTACCTACCTATCTACTGCTACGCTACCTGGCAAGAAAGATTCCAAATAAATTCTTTTAAACTTTGGCAGGCAAGTTATGCACACGTTAGAAGCATTTTGATCGACGCACGTCGAATTCGCAAAGCATGAGCATTTGAACATGTTTAGCATATCTAATGCCAATGACAATGCCTCCGAAATGGTCAATATAATATATGGATGAGGAACCCAGACGTTGATGGTATGTTAAGACCTAATATTGTATGGTATTTTTACAACAGGTGCTGAAATAAAGTTGATACATACAGTACAAGTACCTATTAAAATTCCCAATTACATTATACAAACTTCATTGTGGCAGGTTTTTTTTAGGGGGAAAATCATCGAATGACTGCTCCCGCCTGGGTGAGCGGGAGGGAGTGTCAGACTCTTACTGACTAAAAACCACCCCGTTCCTTCTCCTGCACGTCGAGCCGGAGCCCCGGTTACCCGTTAGATTCTCCGCGACTCCGAATCGGCATCGGCCCTATTGGCTGTGGCAAGTCTAAATTCGTTATGTGTTTACATAGTTATTGATACACTTAATCCAGCACTCACAGGAGTCGGGTTATTAATAAATTTTGGGGCTGAATTTGAAGAGTTTGTCTTGTTGAGTTGTTGTCTTTGTTGCTTAGTTACATAGTAGATGTTAGATGAGAAATAAATGACGTGCCAAGGAATCAAAATCGAGATTTGTTTGATGCATTTGTGACCACAGTTCGTCCCGTAATCGCAGTTATTCATGTTACAAAGTTCCAAGGTTTTAATAAAGTTGTATCTGTAGGTACTTATTATAACGTTACTTAATTTACAGTTAATGATGGTACCACACACACGTAGCATGTGTTATGGATATATAGCTACTCAATGTATGTATACATGTAGTGCAATAAGCATGCTCGCCTTGACCGCACTCCGGTTATGTATAATGCGTTCCATTCATAATGCCATACCTACATACACAAATACATATACGTAACAAAATATTCGTAATCTTTCGATTTCACTAATTCACTGTTAAAACGGAATGCGAATTTAAATGTTATCTACTTGTATTTCCTTCATATAAGTACACGCTAAATGGTTTTGTTGATACAATCATCACCTATATGTAAGTAGGTACCTACCTAATTGAGACTTCTATGGTAGAGCAGGTTACGGCTCACAATGTTACGGTTTTCTCAATTAGAAATTCCCTAAAATACCTATTCCATTTTATCTCATTTTATAGAGAAGTATGGCTATATGAAGAAATTAAGACTTTTCAAATGATTCAACTTTTTGCCAATGATGTTAATAAACTAAACATCATGGAGCGAAAAGTGGCTGCCGTCCGGGAAATAAAAATCGTGTTAGGCACCTACTATCTACTATCTAGAATCTATGGAGATAATTATCATTGTTATACGCCGCTATATCTTAGTAGGATAAATTACCTGCCGATTAATATCGTGGGCTCAGGATAAATTGCTCAAAAAAGATTAGTCTCGTGTATGAGTCAGAGCAGAGCAGTTCAGTAAAAGATCAACGTCACCACAATTTCACCTTACCAGTCAAGTCAGTCAACTCGCGTGGTAGATATTTCTCAGTTCGCCAGCCAGTCTATTACTGTCATCGGCGGACGAAAGACGCGCGCTTCTGTCCCCAACTCGCGAGTCGCGCGTAAACTTTGTTATGGCGGGAAATTTTTTAAACATCGAACTAAATTCAGAAATATGAATCTATGTGACGTTTTACGTTATGTTTAGCTCAATTTAGAAAAGTATTTCGTGATAAAGTTGTGAATTTGGACATTATGAAGTTTCTAACTTGGATTTTAGTAAGTTTTTTTTAATGAATTTACTTTATCCCAACACAAAGCCTCAAATAATACCAAAAAAAAAAGAAAGAAATAACAACAGCTAGCCAAATTAAAGAAATATTTATCTACTCAACTAAACTGTAAACTACTAACAAAGTTTTACGATTTTCGACGGCTATTCAAAAATATCTGTGAACATTGAACTAAATATTTAGGCTGAAAACACATGGTACTTTTTCTGTCTGTAAACGACATACCTACATTTAGTAAACTGAAAACCTTTCATGCATTAAAAATGTTGTTAAACAAGCCCAATTTCAGAGTCAACATCTGAAAATACTTTTTAAATTTATTTTATTCTTGCTTTGTAATTCACAAAGACTTTGCGAATAAAATAAATATTGTAAGTAATAAAGTTGAACCTGATTTCCGTAACCATTAACAAAATGCATCCAAACTAGATAAAGTAATTACCCTTAAGTAGTTCTCAGGGAAAATCGAAAAAAAGATTTCATTATAATTTAGTTCCTAAATCATCAAGAACCACAAGAACTTAAGTCCCACTGAATAAATTGCTTATAGTTAAGTTGACTTTTGGTTTGCGTCACTGGCTGCATTAGGTACCTATAGCTTTCCAGACAGGATATCTACCCATTTAGTATCCAATACCAACGCTGATCAATAAACTGCAATAAAAAAAACCTAGGTGCTTAAAGAGGTACTTACAACAAACGTATACTATAAAGATACTAATACTTACACATAAATCGACAGCTCTACATAATCGTAGTGGTACATAGTATGGACGCAAAATGTTTCTGTGGAAATTGCTGCTTGCTAGCACCCTCACTTCCCTAACACAATTTTGTGCAGGTTGTACGGGATTATCTTAACAGGAGGGGGAGTTTAGCCAAACGGATTAACTGGCTAATCCCTTTTGGCTAAACTCGACTCCTCCCTTGATTTTTTTGCCAAGGATAAAAGTTTCTTCAAAGACATTATGAATAAATGATATGAACATTAACAGTGATAAATTAGTCTAGAGTTTGTTGCCTGATACTATCTCTGCTGGCAGAAAATGCTTATTAGCAGCTAATATGGAAGATCTGAAATTGATATGATGAAAATATATGATGCACTCGGAAGTAGGTACTTACTTATTAGTTACTATTTACGTAGGTATATGTAATGAAGTAACACCTCTGTCTGCCTACCCTTAAGTGTCCCTCTGTCCCAAATGAAATGATGGAATTCGCAATTGGTGTACCTAATCTCTACAGCGCATCACGATCACGAAATCCGAATCCTAAATAGTTCAAAAGTAATCAAATATCCTGAAATATCAAAAGTTTTCTAAATAATCTTTACCTGTCTGCCCACCCTCATTAAGTTTAAGTACCTGTCTCGGTAAAATAAAATCCAATTTGTAACAAATGAACCGAAATCGACATTGCTACTGTCCTAACAAGAAATATTTTCTTACGAGAGTACTCAATTTCCTGTGATAACAATCACAGAACTTAATAAAAATGAATGTTATTGTAAGGGGAAGTATAGTCGATAGATAGCTTTAGAAGTAACTGCAGAATGGTTGGAAAAATTAAAGATGGCACCTTTCTACTACAGAGTGCCTAGTTAAAGTTATGTACGGCTTCAAGTTTTATACTGGACACCACATTTTATGTCTATTATAGTTTTTTGGCAAGCTCTCGTCGCATCGCATTACTAACATGAGACCTAACACAAAACCTCCGTTGGGAAAATGCAGATAAGAGTAGGTAGATCTTCTTCAAGAAAACTACCCCATTCATAAAAGTTTTCTACAAGTTTACGTGGTCTTTCTGCAAAAAGGGATTTACAGCCCACTGGATTCCTAGGAGAAAAGGTCTTTCTAATTAAACTTTACGAAAGAATAAAATACATTGTTCTACTAGATACAATCATAAAAGGTTCGTATAAATTAACGAAGTCTGACATTGCAGAAATTAAATAGATTCTTTGTAAAAAAAACTAAAAATTGTCTGTGACTTTGAGTTTATGAAATGATCTAGGTAAAGCGCCGCCAGCCATATTTTTATGAACGAGTCTTTTGAAATACTTGAGTTTTGAACTTGGAATTACTTACTATTTTAAATCTTAAGCAAATTCTTAATTAGGAAACAAAACATTAACAAAAAAGTTACGATACATTTCAAGGAGACAAAATTATATTACACGATTACTTTCATTTTGACATTATGTATTTTATATGATTATATTATGTATGATTACATTATGTATTTACAAGACTTTTGATATGGGAATAGGTATCTCCCTAACTAAAGTATCGTATTTAGTTCCTGACTTCCTTAGTTATGTACCTATACTAGAATCCTATCAAAGATAAGATGCTAAAAATCACAATGATCATAATAACTTTTCTACGTTTTAATCTGTAGTTTCTGAGAACAAGAATAGAATAGGTTCCGACTTGGGAATAGAGTAATAAAGATCCTACGTCTAATGAGCCTGGGGAAAATAGGAAAAACACCGGATTACTTAACTTTAATAGTTTCTGTTGCAAGTCTCAGCGATCAGGGTTTTCAGTGAGTAGCGTTTGGCTTATTATTATCTATGTAGCCCTGGAAATGGCAATTAAAAACCTTTAAGTATCTCAATAAGAAAATATTTATGTAATTTTCCTCCTCCGTGAAGTAAAATGACTAACACTGTTCATGGACAACAAGTTTACCACTTTTTCGGTGATTGCACGTACATCAGCTGGTCATTCCCACCCATGGCTGTTTATGTAAGGTACCTACAGATTTAACTCTTTTTGCTATATCACTACTAAAACAAAGTCTTTATCCGCCGTCTGCTGTTCCTATGTATGCAATCTTTAAAACTATGCAACGGATTTTGATGCGTTTTTTTTAATAGATAGATTGATTCTTAAGGAAGGTTTATATGTAAAATACACGCATATTGCACCCGTGTGAAGCCGGAGCGGGTCGCTAGTTAACTATATAATTCGGATGTTTGATAAGTTTTGATAAGGCAAGTATGTACCTATCCCTGAATTTTATTATCTCCTTCTAATGTGTCTTTGATTTGAGTACTTACCAAACTATTACAATATTTCAATTTTAACTAGAGATTAGACGGATAGTATGGATACGTGGTGTTTTCAAGTGCCATCATGTGCCATGTCGTGGTGGCCCGGAGGTTTAAGACGCCCGCTTATCATACATGAGGGTGCGGATACGAAACCTAAGATTATCTAGACACCACTGACAGACGGTTAAGGAAAACATCGTGAGGAAACCAGTGCTTATAATTTCTAATGATAAGTTTTTAATCGCCAGCCCACATTGAGCAACCATGGTGATTAATGCTCAAACCTTCACCGTGTGAGAAGAGGCTTTGCTCAGCAGTGAACATTTATAGGCTGTTGATGATAATGCTGGCATATATAAAAAGAAATTGTAATTTTGTACATACCTAATAAAGGAATGATTAGAAAATAGAATAAAGACATACTTAAACAAATATGTACCTACAATCCTACATACCATAACAATGTAAAACTTATCATTAATATGTATCAGGTGAATTGACAAGCAGGCTGCGCCGGCGCGCCTGGGATCAGACATTGTTTGCTGATGATGCGGGCACAATCGATCGATAGTTCCGCAATGTACGGGTCCACCCCGACATGCATACAAATGTTTACTTTTCACCCACACCTAACATATAAATACATAGATTAATCTAATAAGCACTGTAGGTACTGTTTTGACGACCTAACTGTTCTTTTGGTTTCAGCTATAGGAAAACCAGAGATAGGTAACGAGACTTCGCTTTCTATTTAACATTAAAATTTAACATGGTTAAAGAAACTAAGAAGATGAGAAATCCCTTCAAACAATGAGTTCGTATATGCTATAAAGTATAATTGCATACATTTGGAAATACCTAGTTTCGAAAATCACCGGTGACAAATAGCCACTTGAATGAAACCTTAATTTTTAATTCAATCACGTAAGCTTTTAAAAAAATCTGCATTTTATATTAGCACCTTGACAGAAAGAAATAAAATACAGAAGATATAGTTGTACGTATTTGTCGCGAATTTTAAAAAGATACTCCGCTAACTTATATTGGCGTTCACGTTACAAGGAATTTAATTAAACTAACTAGAAGCTTTCCTTTATCGATTCACGGAGTTGGGTATCCGATACTGATTAAATAGCTATCAGATAGGCGATCGCTTAGGGCTTAGAAGGGTGGAGGTCGGTTTTAATGGTATATTTTGGAAATTGTTGGCAAGTTTGCGTGCGCTTGCGTCGCGTTTTGCGGGCTGTTGACGCCATGACGCGATGACGTGGTGACGAGGCAACTATGTCAATGCCGCGCCCGAGTGTCGGCTGCACTATCGCATAATTCTTATCGACCTCTTCGACACATTGGAAAACAACATTGTTACTAGACACTGATCCGATCATGTGTACAGAAGAGGTCATAGGCCAGTCCAAAAATATTATTAGCTCTGCCTTACGTACGAACCAAACCTGATTATAAGTGAACTGGTTTAGTATGGGAATCTATCTCAAAAATGTAATCAGTTTTGATAACTAAAAAAAACGTTGTGTACCCATGTATCTACTTAATTTGATTAACGAAATTCGTGTCACGAATATCTAATTGAGTACCTAACGCTTATGAGGTAGATAAGTTCACTTACATGAACACCTAAACAAATATGTAAGTATAATACGTAAGTAAGTATAAAACACAACAACGAACAATAATCGCGAACTATGGGGAAAAGAAAATAAAACCTCACAAAAACAAATGGTATTCCAATAGATACAAATACTCTAAAAGGCTCATATTAAGGCCATTTGGCTAAAGTGGAAATTTCGGAGATGGCGTTAATTGAACGTAACCATCTATCCTGCTATATCCTGTTGGCCGGACCACTAAAGCGAGGAAAGACTCGTCCAATAAATCTCTGATATTTATTGCAATTTCCTTTTATTCTGATTCTGGCAAAGAGTTGGATTCTTGTCTGCATCTACCAAATGTGTCTTCCTGCAATTTGTCTAATGGAAAAATTTATTATTAAGGCTTAACACACAAAGGCATTGACATCTGTCGCAGTGTACTCTGTATAGAACCTTCAAGCGTATATAATAGGCAGAAATACTTAATTATATTTTCAACAGAACTATGGGATGGGTAGGTCCCGTTAGAGCCTTTTTCATAAAAGAGTCAACCCACCATAGAACTTAAAATCTTCTAATTGTACTTAATAAGTAGATCCTTAGAAATATAAAGCACATAACAGTATGTACGCAAACAAAGGATGCTCACACACCTATAGAATAACCTTTTTGCTCTGCAAAAGGCCCTGATTGTACATATGTACTTATAAGTAACATTGTCCAAATGAGTAAGTGGCCAATTAATCTACGGGTCTCAAACAAGTTTCAAAATACACTGATTAATATCGGGTAACACGTAGACAGCTTGTACAACGTAATCAACCTGTTTCTAAGACAACATTAATCTCAACGTGTAGGTAAACATGGTCATTTATTACACAGCTTCGACAACATTTCGATATCGAACTGATATTGTAATCACAATTTGCATAATAAGTAGGATTTGAAATGCACACACACTATAGATAAGGGTAAAGCTTAGATTAAAGCTGTAATTTAATTTTATTCAAGTTTTATACGTCCAATGTATTACTTAAAAATATTTGTCTCTATCAATCATCTATAGAAAGAATTACTAACTTTAAATGAAAGCTGTTTTCTTATGCCTAAGTGATGAAATTTCATTTCAGATACCTTAAAAAATATAGTTCCAACTTTTTGGTCAAATCTTCTTTTACGATAGGTAGGGGTCGAACTTATTATCTTACGAAACCACTGAGTAAACAATGTTGGTATTCACGAACGTACTCTTTAGATATAGGCCTGTAAAAGTTTTACTTCTTTGGTTATGTACCCATAAAATAAACATAAAGTAGAATTAAGCCTGGCCAGTGTGAAATTTTCAATCATTATTCTTCGTATTGAACAGCCGTTGAGTGCGTCGAAGTGCCCGAAGTTCGGCATCCCGTCGATCAGTAATTAGTTTCGCCGTCTGTTACAAACTTGTTATTTCGTTCTAAACTCATAATAGCTTTTGAACTCTCCCATAAACTACCATAACTATTCTCTCAGTACCATGATCCATTAAGATTATATCTGTCCGGCAATATTGTCGATATTGAGAAAAACCTTATAGAATTCGCTTAATTATCAATTCAAGAATGATTTGCGACTGAATAATAAGTACATTTTTATTAGAAACATTGGCAATCGAACAATAACAAACTAATTGAACATCGGTTTAGTGTGAAATTTTCAGGTGAATCAATTAAAGTAGAATCACTTAACACAATAGGTAGGTAGAGGTACCAAATGACAATCGTGTAATGCAGGTGCAATGAGGCAAGCAAGGGATTCTTTTATGACACTCACTCACTTAACCCGGTCATAGTTACATAAATATCTCCCACTGGGGCTATTTTTAACGACATTGTACACAAAACGAGAGCCGTCTAGTGTCGGCCGCATGCGTGTTCAACTGCCGACACGCTGTCATGTTGATATTCTACGTCAGTTTTAATACTTCCAATAGCTATTAATCCACACTCTCCCAACATTATCAACTAATAGAGATGTTTACTTCAAAAGTATTCAAAACAAGATGTGAGAAGTTTTTGCACTCATGACATAAATTCGCAACATGTTGACTTTGAGTCCTTGATAGTATTTTGACATTTGTTTATAATATACGACCGGGTGTGCCTAGAATTAGATTTCATCTCATTCCATCTCACGTTTGATTCGCTGTAGAAAGGAGTTCGTGTTTATAATTTTAGACAACTGTTACCTGGGTAGGAAACAATTTCTCTTATAATTAGATGTATAATACTTAAAGGCAATATGTGGATAGTAACTTTCACAATGTGTGGCAAATTGTATGCTTCACATACGGTCGTTTTGCCTCTCTGTCAGACCTGTCGCCCAGACAAGTTTCGTGTACCACACATGAGTTCGTGTCGTTACGTAAACACTTCAAGGAATAATTATTCTATGGCCGGTGGTCATTCTAACGATAATAGAAGCAAACCTACTCTGAATATTAAATAGGAAACGTCTTGCTAAGTGTCAGTTGTAGAGTACCCAATAAATTTACGAGTCAACGGCTTTTACCTACCTAGCTATCGCTTATACATAGTAAGTCCAAAAACAAGAATCTTTATTTAACCCATTTCAATCAAGCCAGTAACAGTCAGATCACTTCAGCACATGACTGAGAAACGTACATTATCATCTGCTTCGTTATTTGTTACATGCACGACATACAATATGTTTTCAATTACCCGTAATAACAAAAATTCTCATAATATTCATCTACAGTACATACGCAATGCGTTCGAGTTCGAACAATACACTTTCCCTAATTCCCCTATTATATGGAAATTCGGCACTTGAGATTTCAAGGATATGACTTTGACATCCCCATTAAGCTCTGTAATAGAATGTCGTTATTAAATCTGGGGCGGTTATGTCGCAAATGTCTACAATTTGGGACGATAAACATTAGTAAGCTTTAAAGGCCAGGACGTGTGTTTCAAGTTGGTTCCATCCGAGGCTTGCCATTTTACGAGCTGGCAATATTGGAAAAATGTTGGTGGCACGTGCACTCCAAACGATTTGCTGCCTCGAGTTTTTTTTAATTGCTTAGCTCCACTTCACTTCCTTGTTCCATTTTTCTGTTATGAAATATTGTTCGCTCCGTAATTTGTAATCGAATTTTAAAGCGAAGTTTTATTTCGTTGAATTATTTTCTTTTTTGGCCAACCATAATAAGCTCCACGTGAATGAAAAATATGGTCTAGGTCCTTCGGTTTTTTACACTTTAAGAGCTTGATTGCAACTTTTATCAAATAACAAAAGACAAAACTGATGAATAGCAAAGATAGAAAACCACAAATTGTTTCAGCTACAGTAGAGCTTGCTTCTATTATTATAAAGAGAGATGTAGTTTGATGTGACTTGATGTTTGTTGTTATTTTAATAAGATTATAACAAGTTAATTTTGTTTGCAGTGGCATTGGTGTTGGGGGTTGCTGGTGCTTACAGTTAAATATTCACAAGGAGAAAAGTTCACACTTGGCTACTTGACGGGTTCAGAACGAAGGCCAGGAGACTACAGCTACCAGCGGCCCGGGAGAGTCATATCAGGTACCATCACTTTCTATATATATGAAGACATAAAGAAATTAAGACCAGACATATAACTAACAAAGAGACTTTTAAAATAAGTACGCACTTAAAAGTTCAACATGTTAGTTTGTATGCAAACTATGAACTTAATTTCACCAAGTTCTAAAGTAAAATATCCGTCCAAAACGTCTCGCCTGTTATGTGCAACTTTAAGAGCTTTACCATGTCGATAAATTTTCCATTAACGTCAACAGACCGACACTATCTCCAGTGACTCAAGTTTTTAGTAAAATAGTTCTTTAGAGAATAATGAAAAACCGCATAAGCGACAAAAGGTGTCCCACCGTTTGTGTGCGAGCTATACAAACCAGACTGTATTTACACACAGCAGACATCAAACGTGCATATGTATATTTTGACTGACAAATCGAATCGCCTCAACAAGATTAATGGCGGCAACATTTGGCGCCGAATCATCCATATGAAATAATTTGGAACTTCAAATAAACACGCTCGTGTAACAAATACAAATATTGATGTTACAATTTCGCAGCAGTAAATACATTCCATTATATCTGTTAATTTATTTATTAACACAGGTGCCATTTCGATGGCGATCGATGAGGTCAACGAGAAACTCCTCGGGCCAATGGGTCACTCCTTGGACTTCGTCGTTGCAGAGACATACGGACAAGAAGAGGTCTCCATTCGGCAGGTACGTCCCCTTTTTAATAAATAACATTTTACTACCCTCATAGACGTTAACTTGAATTGTGAAGAAGGACATCTTGTGAAAGTATTCCAATTTAGTCCGTAGATACTTTTTTCCAATCGGTTGCAAAATTACTTGGGAGTTCATTGGTAGTGCCCCTGCCCACTCACTCGACGACCATTATTCTTTCACAGGTTGTGAACACAGATTACTCTCGGGAAATGTTATATTATTGGTGATATCTTATAGCGATAGTTTCTATAACGATTCTCTTTAAAAAGCGAACAAATACTTATATCATAAAATATTTGATGTCTAACAAAAAGAAATATATAAATCATATTTCTTTATAACCAGTTAAAACTTATAGGCGATGTAAATGGCGAATATTCGGCGCTCATATTTTATTCTTCGTAAAAAGTCGGCGTCGTGTACAACAAGCTGTCACCATAATTCACACCAAATTTTATTACATATTGAATTATGGTTGATGGGATGTAACCAGACGAGACAATCGATACTCGATAACGTTCACAATTATGATATGCAAGTTCTGTGCCAATAAAAGTAAAGATTGGTATTACAGAAGAACAAAAACAAATAAATATTGTAGAAATAAAGAAAAATATGAAGAAATCAGAAAGTTGGGACATTAATCAGTTGTAAGCAACAGTAAATAGGTCGGATGTCTCGGTAATTCGATGCGCAGTAAGCACAAGTTTTATGCGCAATATAGTGCAGTTAAACTGTGCTATAACTCTGTCGCGCTTAATGTGCCAGGAAAAAAGTCTACAATTTCTGGAAAAAGTAACTTCAAATTTAATACTTTTTATTCTGTAGAAGAAGGGGGTTTAAGTGTAAAATTAATAAATACACACACTTTTGGTCAGGCATCCAATCAAATGCCCGTCTCTTGCTCGGTAGACGTGACTGTAACCACTGATCCAATGAGACAGTACTAGCCCAACAGAAAACAAATTCCAACCTTATAAAATACTAGCTTTTACCCGCGGCTTCGCTCGCGTCACAAAACGATAAATAGCCTATGTGACATATATCAATACACACAGCGCCATCTATACCAATACTTTTGTTTACCCTAGGGAATATCAATTTTTTCCGGGATAAAAAGTACCCTATTATTTAATCCGAACTTCTAACTTTACGTCTGCAAAAATTCAAAGCAATCGGTTTAGTGGTTACGGCGTGAAAGCGGAACAAACAAACAAACTCACTTTCCGATGTATAATATTAGTAAGGATAGTAAGGATGTTACTTTCTTTACCACTTCAAATTGAAAAATCTTTCAAGAAACTAACATAAGTACTTACCTAGCTATAAACGTTGGTGGTTAATTACTCACCCATAAAGTTTTCTTCTCACGTAAACGCTAACTACTTAACTATTACTACTTGTTTAATGTTTATGTTTATTCTTTAATCCACTTAAGGAATATCTAAACAGCATGTTCATTGTAAAATAAACCTTTGTTTTAGTACTGTAGGCACTTGGTAGTAAAGGTCACTGATAATACGGCTTATCTACACTTGAAACTTCTAACTCGATACAACGGATGCATCACCGACCAGAAATAATTCCATGGTTATTCCTGCAAAAGCAATGACCCACAAATGGTGGCCATCGAAATGCAAAACACGTGTACGTCATTGAAGCATCTTATTAGTTTAATTCAAGCCAATCTGCATCAGACCACTTTGGCGCGCGTGTGTACGTAAATTATCCACTTACCAGTATATAAACATTGCCAGTAAGAAATCACATAAGTGGATAGGTGATACTTGTAACTAGAAATGTAGGATCATACAGAATAACTTTAATAAATGGTCTGATTATTTTTATTCATAAGATTCCAAATTACGGAGGATCGTAAATTCTTCAATTGAATTTTCCAAGTATCTACCTAAATTGTATAAGTTATTTTCTTTCAAATAGAAAACCGCAACCAAACTTCGACGCAGAGTCCTGTAATCCGGCAAAAATCTTGATTCTATTCCAATATAGAGCATAAAATAAAATACGGCCACAATATCTTTTTACTGTATATTGTGAAAGAGAGCAAGTAAAGAAGATTGGGTCAGTATTAATGCCACCCTCTGTTCGCTGCCTGACGTATCAGCCTAGCTAACGCATAAAATGGTAATCGCGGATTCCTTTCCGACTCACCGAGACTCTCGTAAGCGTATTTTCTTCAAACTTTTATAAGTGCTCTGATGTTTTCCAATACTTTTTGCAAACCGATGAACGACATGTTCTCGAAAGAATATGTCTGCTACTACTTACTCTCATTGACAACTTATTTACATTACAAATATGTTGGAACTAGTTACAAAAAATGAGGGATCTTTATAAGTATAACAGACATCACTCAATGTTTCTTTTGATCTCGTTTTGTTTATATAAATGTATATCGTTCCAACTCTGTAAGTAGCTGCATGTAGAACAGGAAACATCGAACATAAATTTCGCTGTTACAGGAAACACTATCTTTACAAACTTTTATCTATTAGGGGTATTTGTCTGGGAAATTGATGTTGTCGCGTAAACCTGACAGTCGACTCTTCGGGGGTTCCGTAAAAAACGGGAACATCACTCGCTGTCTCCCGCATGCTTTACCGTATTATATAGTACCCAGCTACCCTTAAAGTCTCTGAAGAAAGTCAGTCACATATACTGTTACATAAGACATACTATTGGAATGCTTGCATGCATTATCATAACCCTAGAGTGGAAAGTCGCTATGTCTGCGTGCCGGTGCTTCACGCAGAAATTACAATAGATAACTATATACCTACTCAATGCCATTGTGAGTAAGATAATATACATAATAGCTGTTTGCGTCTGAGTATCTACAGCTAGAACATTACGACTTATAATTGCTCGAAGTCATTATCGGTGTCCGTGTGCCCTTAATTGTAAATAATAAAATATTCTGTTCCTCCAACCGTCAACTCATTTCTAGACTAATAGGTCTGTACCATTATCCTTTCGCGAAATCCCCTCTCCAATAAATATTCTCTTTCTTTAGTTACAAACTTTTAACAGATAATAATAATGTTTCGTTTCCTTTGCCCAGCTTGGCGTTCAGCAATGCGTAATAAATTAAGTAACTCGAGCCCTCCGAAGTTGATTGTAAGATATTTATTGTTATAGGATAACTGCCAGTAAACGGGAACAGAATAGTGGCATTAGAGAAATGTGCTCATAAAACTCTTCATAGATAAACTGAAACGCAAGAAGTAAATATTATTCGCAGATATATCGCTGTAGCTTGTAATATATTGTTGTGCGTGTCTCTTCTCAAATTAAATAAGTAACTATAATTAATTTTAAAGTTAAAAAAGGGAAAGAAATAAATCATGAGGTATGTGTGTGACTTTGTTGCATCATGAGCATAAGTAAGGTATTAGTACGAGCAGCACGTCGAGTCGGTACATAAAATTCACTACGATCTGTTTCCATTGTTTAGTGCTTAGGAAGTTAGGACGCGGCTAAACCACACTTCGTTTTAGCCATTCCACTCAGAGTGAGTTTAGCGAGTGTACTGACCGGAATAAGTTGAAAAGTTAATTAACAAAACATTTGTGACGACGATGCCGTCGGACATTTTAAAGTTGCATCGTTAAGTTTTTACAACTGCTGCAGGAGCGACTTATGATATAACTTATTTTACGAGTCGACAACTTGCCGACGGACCGAGCATCTTGTGGAAATACTTTTTAATTTATTTAGTAATAATATGATATTGTGGAGTGGCTGTTCTGCTGGTTCGCTGCTTCTGTTTTTATGTTCACGGCACTATAAGTCTTTTGCCATTTTTTTTAACTTTTCCATGTTACCAGTATTTGATACCAGAGAATCTGTAATAGCCATGCTTTAATTTCGATAACTGTTAAACCCTCACCAAAATCTTTTAAACTTTGGTTGGTTTTTAATCAAAATATAGTACTTACAGTGCGTATAGAGCTTGCAACTTTCCAAAATATTTTGCAGAAAAACAAACCATTTAGTTACATATATGTGAAAAATATAAACAAGCAACAAGATTAACTAGGTCATACGTTAACTATGAAGCGCTAACAATGTTAATTGTGAAAACTAACAACTACATGGATAAATAACACTGAACTAATGTCATGTCGGAGTACAAAACTAATGAAGGAGACAGCCTGCTACGCAACTATGATTAACCGTCTCGCTTGGTATAGTAATCATTAATTCTTAAACTAGTCAGGGTTATTTTCCAAAAATAAATCAAATTACAAAAAGAGGTATTTAATTGTAATTTGTTAACATGGAGTTAACGCTAAGACCTTATAATCAGTAGTTATATAGGTTGTACCTCCAAAATGACTGTCCTGTAATCACTGTCCTGATTAAAATTGTTATGTTTTTAATGGCCACTATGATTTATGATGAATTAATCTAATTCATACATAGTTTCTCCTACATAATACTTAGGATCCATGTTGTGAACAAGGATTGCGTTCTACAGGTGGCGGCTTTGTGGGCAGCCAATGTATCGGCGTTCATCGGACCGCAAGAGACGTGTGTGCATGAAGGGCGCATGGCCGCAGCTTTCAATCTCCCCATGGTTAGCTATGTAAGTACTCAGTACCTGAAGATATTTGTGCAATTAAAGGATTTCTTGCTATCCTGGTACAACAAAGGTGTAAAAGTGGAAACTATTTCTTGCCTAGTCCTCGAATAGATTCTGATTTACAGAATTTATTGAGACAGTATTATCCGAACAAAAGCTAATTTAAGTCCACACGACACTCCAACATAAAAATAAAAAACGAGACATCTATCGTATTTACTAAAACCATCGTGTAAATCGGCCCTAACGCAACCCTAACGACGTTAGACATGACATGACATGGAAGAGGTTGTTCCATTTCCATACTAAAATGTTCACCGTCCATTACTGGCTCATGTCTTGTCAATGTTTGCCCAACTATATCGGTGATCGATCAACTGTCAAATTGCAATTTAGCTTTATAGGCTTCTCCATTCATACAGAAATGACAAGGTTATCGTATAAAAAGCTTTTTACAACATGTTGTATAAAAGGTATGAGTAATTACTGCTAATACCTGGATATTTGCTGATAAAACATCAATAAAACCGCCAACTGCAGTTGTAAAAGCAGATAAGTCATCTAGATAAGATTCTAATCAAAATCTTTGATTTATATTAAACAAACTATGTAACACTATTGCTCCTTTTAACTTAATTTTTGTTAAATGTACAATATTCACTAAACATAAAAAACGTCTGTTCACTATAAACGATATTTAGATGCAGTTAAACAATGAAACTTGACAATATCTTCTCAATAGGCAAACTGCCAAGATCTCTCTAGAATTAATTGAAAAAGAACAATATACACTATTGACGTCGAGTTTAAGGCAACAGAACTATGAATGCAGTCAATGTCTTATGTTAATGCAATCACATTAACTATCAAGGGTCTTCACACAGTTCACCAAGTACCTAGCACTATTGTGTATGGCTATAGATTGTTAGGTAGTCTGTCAGGATTTCATGAAAATTGAACACACATACTTATGTATTTCGACAAGATTTTTTAAGAACTTTTAAGTAAGTCTATGTATAATTGCTACGTTCTCTCTTAGAGAACATGGCCATAGACATTTTTGTCATTCGATGAATTCAAGCTTTGATCTTGGGTTCAAGCTTTGAGAATTTGAAACTTAAAGAAATGACAGAATTCTTTAATTACCCGTTAGTAAAATTCGTTAATCGAGTAAAGTAGCAAAATTTGCGTAACCTCTTAATAAACTGTTATTTTTTTAATGTAGGTACCAACATGTTAATTCGACTTTTATTATATTTGATGGCCTTATGTAATAATACTAAATTGACACGCTACAGACTTATGGATACAGGCTCTCTCTCTACAGCACAATGCAGCGGTTTTCTCCATTATTTACTTAGCCCCTTTTGCAGTTTATTTGGACTGTATTTTGTTTATTTGTCCCGCAGTACTGCCGCGATGTTGCCAGCTCAAACAAACGCGTGTACTCCACGTTCGCGCGCACCAGGCCTTCGGACATCGACATCTCCCGCTCCGTGGTCGCCGTGCTCACGCATTTCAATTTCATGCATGTAAACATTGCCTTTTGACTTTTTCCGTGACTTTTCAGTGACTTTTTCCGAGTTATATGTACTTTCTAAGATTATTTAGACACCACTGACAAACGGTGAAGGAAAAACATCGTGAGGAAACCTGGACTTATAATTTCTAATTATAAGTTTGAAATCGCCAACCCGCATTGAGCAAGCGTGGTGATTAATGCTCTAACCTTCTCCGTGTGAGAAGAGGCTTTGCTCAGCAGTGGGCATTTATAGGCTGTTGATGATGATGATGATGAAACATTGCCTATATAACAATACATTCACATAATATTTAAATACTCTTTGTTACTTAGTACGCACTTGGTCTGACTCAAATTCTTTGTCAATGTAGCCAATAATTGCTTTAGTCATAAATATTGCTTAGAACTCTGAATAACTGAAGATAGATAGATGGGTCTATCAATGGACGTATAAATGGTGATGTCATTTACACCACCCTGTGGACGCTATGGGAAGCTCGCTCCAGAAACGAGACCTGCTAAAAGATTATTTTGGTGCCTTATTGTCAAAGCTATTTTAAGTACCAGAAACTTAGTTGTTCTTATACACAAAAGAAATGTAAAAGGCTCTTAATCCCTTTGAAGAACTGATCTTAGTCACTGGCCGTAAAATTGGATCATATTTTTGTTGTTTGTATTAACGTTCGTCAAAGAGAAGATTATATTTTGAATCCAAACTAAAATTTATCCTCTTTTGTAGGTGGCTTTCTTGTACCTGAAGGCTCCAAATCATGACTTTTCGAGACTAGCGAATGCAATAATAGCGGCGCTCAGGGAGAAACAAATAACAGTCCGGCCAGTACAAGTGTACCGACAGCCTTATTACTACGAGAACAGGCGGGAAAACTTCAGCCGAAACCCATTCCTGGACATCGTTCGAGAAACCTATAAGGAGACCAGAAGTACGCACTAAATGGTTTTGATTTATAATTCTAAATGTGAATATACTAGCGGTAGCAACATAGGTTAGGTTAATAAATAAAACAATTATCGTACTTATCGTAACATAACTACTTACACTTGTATTGGAACACCAGAGACATCATGAGTGGAAGTTGTTTAACTGCACCATTTACACTGCCATTTGGAAAATACTACTATTTTATGCAGCTTAAACCTACGGTTTTTTTAAACGTGTTAGTTAGATTACTGCTTTTATGAACATACTTTTTTTGCTTTGTTATTAAACTCTACATTTTCTTACAGTTTACGTGTCGGTTGGATATTATCACGATCACATCGGATTAATGTTAGCCCTCGACGCTATGCAGCTTCTAGATTCAGGTATTTTATAAAAACAGTTTCGATGACATCTTTCTCTACCAATAATTAAATAACTAACCGTAGGTACGTTGAATGACTGCTTGCACTTACATGTTTTTTCGAAGAATGAATTATGTTCGAACATAAGTCGGGGAAGTGTCGACATTTCCCTTCGTGAATAAAACATTTTCATCACAAAGAAACATGGGATTCGTATCGCCCTATTTATCAACACCGACATCAAAATATTTTCCCTGATTAGGTAGGTAGGCACTGATACCGAAAGGATATTTACTCAAACTTGGGTCGTATTTGCAGATTCGAATTGATTGAAGCTTTTATTTTTACCTCCAGAGACAGTATTTTGGTATCAAAATTTAGCCGAATCAAATAAACGAAAAAGGGTTATACAAAATTTTATTCCTAAAAATGTTGTGATCGGATCGGATGAAAGCAGTTATTTTGGATAATTAATGTAAAACGTTCAAATTGATATTAGCGTAACTTTCCACTTCAAAATAACTTCTATTATAACTTACCTACATAACAAAACAATACACCCTTTATCCTTTAAGGGGTAGGCAGAGGTGCACATTACGGCACTTAATGCCAATGTACAGTGTAAATGTAACACCCACTTTTCACTATTTACGTTGTGAGTCCCATGTAATAGGGGTGAGCCTATTGCCATATACCAGACACATTTTCAGACTCCGTGCTACTACTGAAAATATTAAAAACCTAGTAATACTTTGTCGGACCCGGGAATCGAACGCCAAACCCCTTGCCCGGCAGTCGCACTAGCAACCACTCGGCCAATGAGGCAGTCTTACCTACTTACTTAAATTAAGTATTTACTTCTTTCTAAAGTTCTTACATTATATGCAAAGGACCCTATTAGGGTTGTCAAGCGATATATCAAGAAAGAGTGACTGTGCAAGTGAAAATCCTGACTACGTGCTCAATTTCCATAAGCTCGCGTGAGATATATTTGTCTAGATCTTCCCTTTGTTAGACTGACACCAACGTCCCATTATTTGACGAGAAAAGCCTTTAGCCATATTGTTCACGACCAGCCCTTATGGGATCTTGAGAATCAATATGAATGTTGTTGTGATGGTACATTTTAAATTGATATTCGAGGATGGTATTTAGTTTATGTCTTGTAGCTGTGTAGATAAAGTGCATTTTAAAATATAGATCCCATTACTAAGTCATATATTGTTCACAACATGAGCCATAACGAAATCATTGTTTTGTACTTTTTTCTGTAGTAACACTGTAAACTTGTCGACTTCACATTTCTATTTGTAAAGGTCTAACTTATGAACACAAAAAATATTTCTTATATTCTTCTTATATTCCTCAACTTTATACGTACACTAGAAATCTATACAAAACGAACGGAACAGGGCCCTAAACAAATATAGAGAGAAGTTCACTCAAATGAAAATATCAACACACGCCTAAAAATGCCAGCGGCACTGTATCGAAGCTATTTCAGAGGTTTCCTCAAACATATTTCACGAAAATAGAAAAGAGGAACAGTCATGTTTGTGACAGATAACTAATAAACTGAATCTATTTATTGAAACAAGTTTTTATGACACAGTTTCAATACACAAATCAGACAGATGTTTCGAGTTTTTTGCGCGTTAGGTACTAATTCTGGCAACTTTAGCAATAATATCAATTCGAATTTAGTTAAGGATATCTCTGTTATGCCAGCAATCAATTGATTAACAAATAAACAAACATACGTAACTACAGACAGATTTAGACGCCAAATGTTTACAATGGAATTAACAGTTTTCTGTTCAATTTCATTGAAAAGGCAATTGAGTTTCATAAACTCGAACTAATCCTTCCGTCTTCGTAGTAGAAATAATTATGCTTCCTATAATGAAAAGAAGCTTAGTTCAGATTATGAATGTAATAAGCTTAAGGAACTTGAAATGCTATCTATTGAATACGAAGTATAGCGGTGCGCTGGAGCGACTAGTCGATCGTATTTGCCTCGCCGCGAGCACATCGATCACGTGACGGGCAAATATTGCAACTCTTCAGAAATGCCACTATTCAATTCACACCCGCCTCTCACTGTTATATAGAGACCATACATCATAGATGTATACTCGTATACATATAACCCAATACCGTTCATAAATAAAACTCATTTTCCTCTATCTACTACGGATCATAACGTCCTCATCATTATTCAGTGACACGCTTAATAAGCCTTGGGAAGATAAACAAATGGTTACAGTCCTTATCATCCGAGCGGCAGATAAGTATTTAATCCATAAAACGTATAAACTATTGGCAGTGGAATGTTTGACGATCTCGCTGAAATTATTTTCAGCTAAAATACAAACAGAGAATAGTTTGGAATTCTCCGCGTTCCGCCGCGTAGTTTCCACCAGGAACATTAGTGTTAATGCCCAAATGTAGCGGATTTTCGGGTAGGAACACAAACTGCAAATAATATTTGCTCAACAGTTTCATGCCCACAGCGACCATTACAAAAATGAATGTTAAGTATTAGGTAAATGGTTGATTAACTTTCATACAAAAGCGTGTTGGATTATACAACCGTTCGCGTTGTGTGAACACGAAATAAAGGAATACGTCTTTTGTCTTTAACTTAAATCCAGATGAAGTTACAACAATAATACAGCGCAAGATGGATTATTAAATTAAATTACATTTCTAATATAAACGTGTCTGGGACTGTTAACTCCCGACATTGATAAACAAAAGAATATCATTTTTGGCGTTAACATACAACGTTCATTTGTTTTAGAAGTCTGAGATTAAGTTTTATTATAATTAACGCAAATGGAGATAATTTTAAGGAAAGTTTAGAGTATTGATTGAAATAGAAGAATTGATTTGACAATCTGTCAATTGTTAGTTCATATTTTCCCAACTAGTGTGGGGTTAGCACTGAATCGTAGCAAGATTCAACTTCATTAAGTATTACAACAATAATAAATTCATAATCCTTTTTAGGTGAATACGCAGCTATCGGTGTTGACGTGGAGAAGTACGAATCTGAAGAAGCGATCCAGTATTTGTCTGGACCTCTGCAAAAGGAACCAGGTCCGCGGACCCTGCATGCGTTTCGTTCATATATGGCGGTTGCACCCTCACCGTCTCCATCTTACCAAGCCTTTGCGAAGGAAGTAAATAGAAGACTACAGATGCCACCATTTAATTTCACTAATCCCTTGCTCGCATTGGGCGGAGGAAAAGTGGTAAGTACTTTACTACTTTAATGAGAAACATTTTCCACTTAGTTTGAACTTAAATTGAAATGTTTTACAAGTCGTTGGAGAGCTTAAGTGTTTGTTTGGGTTACGTCGTAGAGAAAATGTAGGGTATGTTTATATCTATTAGGTAGGTTTCTGAGTGAGAAGACAACACTTTACCATCTGTTTCCATCTGTTTTATTATAATGTTAAGGTACAATGTGCTAAGATGTTATAAAACTATATCCAGTTGTTTTCATTGCATGCTTTATTGTGTAACTGTATCCAGAGAAGCGAGCACTAAAAACATATTTAGGAAGAAAAGTCATCATATCGTACATCATTGTGTATTTTTGGCAAGGGACACGGTTTTGTTGAGTTTATATCGCAACTATACATATAGGTGTCTGACATACGTATAATAATACATTGACAAACTAATTAAAGAGGACAATAATTACAGTGCGGTAATTAAACTTGCATTTGTATCATTACCGACTATTACAAATAAACTATGTATAGAATGCTGTAATTACATGGACATCAAAATGACTACATTAGAGACAAAATTATGCACCGCGTCCATTTTGCCCTTTTGTAATTAAATCTGCATCCACTGAGTAATTAATTCAGACGCAAAGAATGAGTTCGTCCAGCCAGAGGGACACTTTAATGTAATGAATAAAATTCACGTTATGTCCGACGGTGGCAAGTATGCATCTATGTATATTTGCTGTTTGGGTAATGTTCACCGTTGTTCTATGTGTATATAAAATTGTTTTCATCACGCTGTACTATTCTTTTTTTTTCATTTTAAATACCTCATGAATGTATCTCACAATTGAACACATCTTAATTTTACTACATGAGGGATGTAATAATGAGATGATTTAACAAATGAACTCTAAATAACTAAATTAACACCTATCTTAATTCGTTTTTGGATGAAATGACCCTGAAATTTTACAATCTATACATCACATTGCAGATAGGCATTACCTATTACCTGAACACCGGACCCGCCCGGTTATCTGACCCTCTAAATGAGTTTTCGTTTCACCACCTTTTTGACCGCCTGTTCGACCCGTAAATGAATTCGCCTAAAGTTGACACCAAGCTTAATAGCTTTCTGGGCTTTATTTTAGCGAAAAAGGCTCGCTTCTACTCAATTTCAGTTAAGGTAAATGCACCTTATTCCGAGGGGTTCTAAAAATGGCATCATATTCCGATGTATTTAGAAAAACAGTTTTTTAAAGCAATTTACTAGTTATTTATGGTCTGCATGATAAAATAATGAATTAATAATTATCTGTTCATATTTATTTATACAAAGGAGAGTTTAGTATGGTCACACTGTAAAATAATCGGTAATTTTGCCGCGGGGAGCGGCGTCGAAAGCACACTTCATACATTTGGGACCTTATGCACGTGAGTATTACGATTTGCCAAATAGTGTTTTACGTAATAATTTTATACAACGCGAGTTTTCGTTTAGGTTGAAATATTGAAAGGATAATATTTTTTATCGAAAACACTTAAGATTTGAGTATTTTATTTGCAAATTAGCAAGAAAATAAGTGTTTAAAATACCGCGGCATTAGGTGCAAAATATTTTAGTGTGTTCCTAAAAGCCGATGTATACCACGGAAAAACAAATTTAAAGACATTTAGTTTTTTTTAATTTCGGTGTCTGTTTTATGATTATAAACTTTAATGTGTTAGTTCTGACTTAATGAATAACTCATACATTTAATAATCTATTTCCGAGGTACACCGTGGCGTCGCATTTACTAATTATAGCAGGTCAAAAATTGTTTGTACAGGTACTTTATTAATACGTTGTATAGAAGATTTTAGTGAAGACATTAGGTTTTATAAGTGTTCTGTTATTATATGTATGTACTTTATATTGGTTTTCCTTTCATATTGTAACTATACATTATTTTATTTGCATAATATTAAAAAATCTTTTACTTTTTAGTACTCGGAATTAGAAACTTTGATTTAGCATCATAAAACGCTATTCCGATGTATTTACGTCGGAATAAGGTTACATGAGTACCTAATTCCGATGTATTTACGTCGGAATAAGATTACATGAGAACCTAATTCCGAAGTTAGTTAAGACCCTGTTTAAATACAGAGTGTTCATTATTTTATGTGCTTAGTAGATACGCGTTTAGTAACTGAAAGAATACTAATCATCTATACAAATACATAAAATTGGAGTGTGTGTTTGATATTGTTAATTCATTTTTATATTTTTATAAGATTAAGGAATAATATTAATAAAAAACAGGGTTTAGAATAAAACTAGAATAAACAAAAACCAGAATTGATTTAAGTAATATAAAAAATAAACAGATTTGACTTTTAAACATCATGTATAATTCTCCCTACATAGTTCCCTTTCTATTTTTATACTCGGAATTAGGAACCAAATGCATCGGAATTACGATTTTTAAATCGGAATAAGGTACCTCGGACTTTTTTATATTTTTATTTATTTTATCAGCTTCAATAACCTTCTACTGACAAACTGCAAATATTTTTCAAAAATTTGATAGCTAACACTTCTGATAAAAATATAAAATTGTACACAAAGGTCCGATAAATACTTAATTTATAATGTTCTTTCGTGTTATGTTAAAAACAGCGCGGAATTAGGTGCCTTTACCTTAATTAAATAAAAATAAGTTGACGCGTCTTTCATAAGCGCGACGTTAAGTAAACGACAAGGCAATTTCCATATTTCCGATACAACCATTTTTTATGATTTAGTATCTCGTTTTTATGATATAAATTCAATTTCGAAGTGGGCAAAGTTCTAATTCCAATACAACACTCCCTTTGCCGATTAAGCACGTAGGTAAAACGTAATTGAAAAATTGGACGAACAGATTAAATACAAATATTTTTGTTTATAGAAACATAAAAAAATGTCTGCCCTCTATCTTATAAAAATAAGGAATACGAAACCAATAATGGAACACACTTTTTTGTAAATCTAACACCAACTGTTTTTAATTTTTTTTTAAGACATTGCCACTTATTACTCTAGATCCCTGTGGAGGCGGCATGGCTGCACGACGCTGTGTGGGTATATGCGCGTGCGCTGGCAGAAGCTCTCTCCAGCGGTGAAGGACCTCGTGATGGACGGGCCATAGCTGCTAGGATGAGGAATACCACCTACCATAGTGTTATGGGGTAAGTTTTCTTAATCTCACACACACAATATTTCAGTCGTCCTTTGAAACAAGCAGTAGGTAACTAAGAGGTAAAAAGTGGATCAAATCGTCAGATCTTCAATTACCTATTATAATCCAAACGTTTTACCATGTAACATTTCCATTTTCAGTCGCTCTCTGGAAACCAATTCAATTTCAGCATTACTAATCAATATTTATTTATGATAACAAAATAATAATAAATAACCCAAATTACATATTGCGTATTCCTCAAGGGATTTAGGTACAACATTTACACTACATAATATACAACACAATTATAAGGCCTTAACAATAAAAATCTATTATCAGAACAAAATCAAATTACTTTTTTTACATGATTGTCTTAATTTTCACCTCAAATCAAAAGAACGAAAATGGTTGCTTGTAAATTGGTCCAATTTTAACCGCCGCGAATTTCACGAAGTCGGATGGGGATCTGGCAACTGTTTAGATAGGCGAAACGTGCTTCTTAGCTTTTGTGGCTTAGATAACAGAATAAAAAGGGAAAGGGACAACCACTGAACTGCTGAATCCGAAACTAAAAAATCTGTATTCCACTCTTACAGGTAAAAACGTAATGGGCACAATCGGTTTTATAGGAAACTTGCAGTCCGGGGTCACACAGATTCAGTTCTACCGATTTACATAATACCTTCATAAATTTCACAAAATTCTATTACATTTTCATGTTATAGTATAACATTTTCAATGGTCTGCGTTGGAATAGGAAGCATCACATCCAAACCCGAAGCAACAATTTAAAGGTCATATAAAACATTAGACTAAGCGGGCATCGTGCCTACAAGCCTTTGTATGAAACCGACTTATGTGATGTCTCCTTGCCCTAAGCAGTGACCAACACCAATCATTACATTGTCAACATAATTATTATGGAATAAATATGTTACATTAGATACTGGTTGCTACACCTGCTACTTATCATGTAGCGTAGCCGCGTAGTCTCGATTCCCGCAGTAGTTGATCCCACGGCATAATGTTTGTGTGATCTTTTAATTGTTGTTCCAGGGTTGGTTCTGATGTCAGAAGTCAGATGTCTTATATTTTTATCTTATATTTGAATGAAAATCCATAAAGTTTCTCCTACAGTTTTAAAAATTAAACATACGAAACGTTCGTGTCAAATATTCGTGTCCACATTTACTTTGGTATTGCGTGTTTACCTGGAACAGCGAAAGAGTTTTACACCGTTTCCTCTGATATTATGTTGACATTAACAGGTCGTGGCCCAATTTTACTTTTAAGCTTTTAATTAACCAGGTTAATTTGGGTTTCTAATGGCTAAAAGTCACGTCGAACTGCGATTGTTTGTGCAATAAAACTTTAACAGTTATTTCACTGAGTTATTGTACCTTAATTGTGTTATGTCTGCCTTATATTGTAATACTAGCTTCTGCCCGCGACTTCGTACGCGCAATCCCGATATTTCCCGTTCCCGTTCTTGATTTTCGGTAAAAAGTAAAAAAAAAGAATTGGGTAAAAAGTATCCTATGTCCGTCTCCTGGTTCTAAGCTACCTCCCCACCAATTTTCATCCAAATCGATTTAGCCATTCTTGAGTTATAAATAGTGTAACTAACACGACTTTCTTTTATATATATAGATTACTATGGTTAGAGCCAAAATATTAATACTCCAATCCTTAAAAACAAAGAATATGATGGTGAGGTGGCTATAGGTGGTGCATATAGTACATTACAATCACTGACACCCACACAATTATTCCATTAACCTAAATTATATGTAGATCCTATTGTAATTTGAAATATCTATTACATTTGTAATTTAAATCTTAGTCCGTCAAGAAGCGTAGATAGAGGTATTGTCTTTCGATAAGGGATATTAAGCTACAGTTCCAATCCGCATCAGTTCCAGTACAGTATCAAGCAACGTAATGTCGTCTTCACCAGGTACTGGGTGCATATGGATGAGCAGGGCGACGCTGAGGGAAACTACACACTATTGTCCATAGACCCGTCACGGCCGCCAGGCCTCTACCCGCTCGCAGTACTACATAAATCTGCACCGGTAAGACCATTTTAATGTAAACTTCAACTGTGTACCTATAACTCTTATTACACTTATGTAGGTTGGTGCTTCGGTACGGCCGTACGGGTGCTCACAAATTCTTTAATTTGGCTCTCAACTTAAACGCATGTCAGAATGATTAATTACTCTGTAACAGATGATAGGCGCTTCCAACTATTTATCACGGCGGCGCGAACTAATTTAAGTTCACAAACTTGCTTACAGTACTGTCTGGGAAAATTTCCTTGATCCTGACAATGCCACTAAAGTTTTGAACTGTCACTGATTCGAATATCTACATATATTTTCGCACACCTGGGATCCCATTTGTAATATAAATATTTATGCGTAAAAATATTCGTAAGTGTTTCATGAAAACATTTACATCTACATGTAAATAGATTCGTTATCAAATATCCGAAACACGTACGCACAGCGATACTCGACGTGCCCCGAATAAACGGCATCTTTTAACCGTTTACGTCACATTTTGGCTTGGACGATGCACTTTAGTGCCAACCGGCGTATGGATTCAAATCTGAAGATACTAAGGTCCTTTTAACTGGAACAAATCTGTAATCCTACAAACCATTTGAAATATTTTCGCGCTTGTACGTAATTTATATTCACGCTCTATTTCTACAGCAATCCATTTGATACAGCGAAGAATTTTTTGGCAATTTGTTTAATACTTACAGAGAAAAATGTGATGATTCTCAGAAATCTTAAAACTGTTTACTTCTCACAGGAAGTTCGATTTCTACGCGAAATGGAGTGGCCAGGAGGCCAGGTGCCACTCTCAGAGCCGCCTTGTGGATTCAGAGGAGAAAAGTGCGTCAGTAAGTAATATTTGTATTGGACGGTTTAACAAAGAGAACTTTATACCCTTTCACTGGACACCCGTAGCTGTGAAGAGTGTATTCGCTTTCCTTAATGCAGAACGTATGTTGGTAGCTAATAGAATCAGCAAGTGGGCTGGAGCACTCCATTACTAACGGTCGGCAAGACGGACGCGACCATTTTGTTTACTGGCGATCTAAAAAACTAATATGTAGGTACTGTTAGAGCTCGGGTCGGCATTAAGCGCAAGGTTTGTAAGCGACAGTAAGTAGGGTGGCTCGTAAAAGTGTCGTTACGAGTCGTAGTGACAAGCAATGCGGAGCAGCGGGCCATAGGACGCACGCGACGCCCGCTGCGCCGCTGCCCGCCGCCACCTAATGCTCACTACACCACTTTCCACTACTGCCATTTGCTAGACCTACAAAACCACTAGCCGCTACACAAAAATACTCTACGGCACTACATAAAGCTTTCCAAGTAGCTCTAATACAATTACATTTAATATAAAAGGTTCATGAAATCACCAACCCAACCCCAACTTGGCTTGTCTTCAGAAAAGACTCTTTCAATGTTTGTCGTACCAACCTAAAACTTAAATAACATTACGCCTTTTAATCCCCTTTTAGATTGTTTGGGCATCCTCTTTTCGCCCTTTTATTTTGTTAATTTCTTAATTTTACTTTTCTAAAACAAAATGGGAAATTATGTTCTTTCTAATTTTTTAGGCAGAATGGAGTGTAATGAGGTACGTAGCTACCCCATACATTTCATATCTACGTACGACACACACTATTTCAGCGAAGGCGTTCTTTTGTAACATCGTAATTGCATTTCCATTCAGAAGTCAAATAATAAAATCCATCATCCTGCACAATACTTCCAGTTCGTTTCAATTTGCAGAGCTTTGTTGACACAGAGACTTTGTGAAAGAGAAAATTGCGCAAAGGAAATATCCCATTATTTTGAAAAGCGATATATAAGTTGTAGCTACTGCTACCAAGTAACTTTTCTACTTTTCTGAGGCGTAGTGTACTGCCTCACTAGACGGCACGCCTTAATTTCTCTGCACATTTCCCTTGATAATACGAAATGAACCGGCAGGATAAATAAGAAAGATTTCATTTTAAATTGAAGTGAAAACATACTTTTATACAGGTATTTCTTGTTTGATAAAGTTACTTTAATTAATTAAGTAGGTACATGGTAAAAATTCCATGTTTAGTAGTAAGTAGGTTCGCGTTGTACAATGGAAATATGTACAGATATTAAAACAAAGAATGTTACAAAGGCTTCTAGCAAAGGGGGATATTTCCTTTGCTCAATCTTTCAAACGTACTTTACTACGGTCCAGCATTGCACGGAATCCAGATCCGCCCCGAAACAGTAAATTGAATACAAAACGTTTATGAAAAGTAATTAAAATGAAACAAAGCAAACTGTTTCCATATTAAAAGATATTCTGAATTTCAATTATGACGTTAAATTCCGTTTTCGTAGCTAATTCTCTAAACAAATAATAAACTCGTGTTAGGATTAAGAGTTTGTATCAAAGACTGTGTCATTCACCCCGCAGTTGTTTTGAAGTGTACCTAGTCTATCATTCAGTCAATCTGGTGAGCCACGGACTACGAGTCGTACGTAGGACCTGACTGTCTTTAACGACATCATAAAGTGAACCGTATTTTTCTTATTCCAACCATCGACCACACTAACTCGTCTAATCGTGCAATAAAAATCAAAATCTCGCTACAGTAAACAGCAAAAACTTCAAACAAGGCTGAAGTGATAATATGTTAGTTCAATAACTTCTTTTTATGGTCCAACAAGCTATTAACGACTTATTAGTTTTGATACAAATAAAACGTCATGAGTGCTAAGTTTGGCAAGTTGGTTAAAGAGCAAATTGATTGCTTATAATTTAACACTAAAAAAGGAATAGGTAAACCTACTATACAATTTTAGCCTACCAAAACGATATCAATACATAGGTAATTGTTTTTGAATCAGGTCATATTGGAGCTTGGGCACTGGGTGCCTCGGGAGGTACCCTGGCACTCCTAGTCCTCGCTGCTCTAGCCCTCTACCGCGGCTGGCGCTACGAACAAGAACTGGACTCACTGCTCTGGAAAATTGACTTCCGCGAGTTACACTTGCCAGACGAAGAACAACGAGCGAACAAAATGAGTAGGTAAACCGAACTTGTACATGTTGTCTGCATGCGCTAACACTAATATTTTGTTAACATATCAAAGGAATTGGTGTTTTATTTATTCGCACTAGTTGAAATGGATCAGCTTCTATTTTGAATTTATTTATTTGAGTATTCGAACGTGGTAATGTGTTCGAGTTCTATCTATTGTAGTATTACTATTGTGTCTATTGTATGTTAGATATAGTGAGTAATAAATAACGCGGTCATAGACAGCCTTTGTCCGCCCTCGACATTTCGACACCCGTGTATCTTTGGCAGAAAGTAGAAATGTGGTTGACCGCCCCTATATCGTCTCTTCTGCCCGCTGCACAAAGCGAAATAGATCTTACATAGTTACATCTAGTCCCTCGCTTTGTTCGGCTATTTGATATAAAATACCAAAGTATGTACTCCAACGAACACTTTGATACACTCCAAAGCAATAGAAATAAATTTTACGATGAAAATATTTTTAACTTCTCCGTTTCAATAAGTTCAGTGTACAGCACTAATAGCTTTGTGACGTAATAAATAGAGTTCAGAATAAAAATAACTGCAATTTTCTCTTAGAGTAAATCACGAGTGGAATGGATAAAAAGAAATCAATCGTATTATATTGTATTGATTTGAATCCAATTCTTAACGTTGTTTACCTGTACCTACCAATTTTATTTAAGGGCACTTAGATCTTATACATACAGGAGTGGATCAGCGGACATCGATCATTTTACCTATGTTTAATTAAGTTTGGAGTAAATGAACTTAATGTAACAGATTTCACGTAAAATCAAACTTTTACAACGCAGAAAGAACCAGATGTTGCCTGTGCCGATATGTCATTTCTTTTTTCTATTTCTACCTAAGTGTTTTCAATCATCACAGCACATATTGTAGGTATATACAGATATGATATATAGAGGTAGAAGCATGAAAGTCTTATATTCTCAATTAATGGAGTGATAAAAGTTACATAACTGGCTAAAAGTTTGTTTTTTTATGGAAACAACCGGTAAACGAGCAGACTCAGTGTGTACCACGTCGAGCCGGCCCATTCGTGCCGAAGCATGGCTCTCCCACACTTATGTAGATAAACATTCATATTTGATTATTTGCACCTCTACCAACTGTCTCTTGGAAAAAAATAACTTTTTTTACAAGTTGATCAGAGCTGAATTCTTCCAGCAAGATAGCAATGCCGCCGGGAACGTTACCTCTTCAACCAATGCTGTGGGGGGAGAGAAAAATGGAGGCAGCACGGGTGGAGTCCGGTCTAGCCAAGTCTCCCTGAGCTCAAACCCAGACCTAGACTTCCGTTATTCAGCTATCTTCACTGAAGTGGCATTCTACCGCGGCCGTCTGCTCGCTGTGAAACGAGTCCGCAGACATCACATCGATATCAACAGGGAAATCAAGAAGGAGCTTAAAATTGTAAGTTATATCGACATTCGATGCACAGAGTATATTTACATGTTTCTTAACCCTTTGAGTACCGTCATTATAGACACAATTAAAGAACAATACGTTGCGGTCACCGGTGTCCTCGCGGTGTTTGACAGTTTAATATACAGCAGAAATGTTATCAAACGTAGGCAATTTCTTACATAGAACACACGTACATACATAATTGCTTAAGATATTTTAAACAATCCTATGTCGTAGGTACTAACACTAATACTTACGATATATAGATAGGTTAGGTAGGAGATACCCCGTACCCCAAATATTTGCCAAGTTATATATGGAATCTGTAGGCAATTTACTTTGATATATCCTTGTGGTATTACTGAGGATAGCTCAAAGCCTTCCCTAGGGCGGGAAACAAACAAAACATTTCTCTTCCTAGCCTCGTATGATGGAGGTGCCGGCTGAAATAAATCGCTTTAATACATTCGGATTTACTCAACTGACGCAGGTACCTAGTGGAATAGAAATAAATAGGTGGTATTATCTAGCGAAATGTATTTGTGTAGGTAGGCACCTCCCTACCTCGTAATCATCGTGTTTACGTGTAACTTTCAACGTTTGGTGTGTGTGCTTAGTTAAATTACAATGATCCTACCTATCACAGCAATGTGTTTAGGTACCTTCTGTTATTTTCATCGCTAATTGAAAGATATGTCTCTTATCTAAATAAAACTCAACACACTATGAGCTAAAAGCCATCTAAAATGAATTTGTACTTTGTTTATTTAAATCAAAATAATGAATTCGTCTTAATCAATCTATCATTTGCCGCCTACAACCGAAATTCATTGAAAATTATTCCTATTGCTTGTTTATTTAAATTAACATAAAAGTAATAATTCATCTTACATCAATCATTCAGCACCCACAGCCGATCGCGTGAACTTACATTAGATATAACTGTGCATCTAGTTACTTATAAGTATAAAGAAATACATGCAGCCGTTACCAGGATTGTAATACCTAACATAAAATGTTCAAAGCAAATAATAACGTGAAGGGCGATTTGTTCAGGTGCGGATAAATACCTTCGTAGTTCGCACTAGCTTACACCTGTTTGTTCAGTTTCAATTTATTTGGACGGTGAATTTCAAAAGTCAAATAAAAATATTGGAACTTTCTTGCACCACGCTTTAAGCTCTCAATATGTGTAAAATATGTGTTTTCTTAATCTTACGGTGCGTGGGCATTTCGGATTGAATCAACCGGAGAATTAGCATTCCTAAAAGCACACGATATATTTATCTTGTAAAGAATGTATCCTCCAATTACTGTAAATTGCTAGCTGTTTTTGCCGAGGAATGGGAGGAGCAGTGGTATCCTTATCTGATAACGTCAATTTATTGCTTTCAACCACACCCCCAAACACGATTTTTTCCGATGTGCTTATTGATAGGACAATGCGTGTTCTTATACAATTAACGATGGCAAATGTAGATAATGATAACGATCAAACCGTTTCACACAAGTTACAGAATAAATCTCTTCTATAACTTGATTTTTCTACTGCGACAATAAATATTGAATTTGAATCAAAGTTTCAATCAATCGACATCAGTCTTTTATTGAAAACCAATATCTGTAGCAAAAAAGGACAGCGTCCAAAAGATTATCTTTCAATTTGATACATTCAAAGCATGTAATAAAGAAACATGCGTTCATATAGAAACATCCCCTTATAGGTGTCCAAAATAAAGTCGATACCCTCTACTCTCAAATAAAACAGTAGGATTCTGTTTCATTGCAATCTCGTACATATTGCTAGATATTGCTAGCAATAATATGCAGCAGAATCTATCTACGAAGTACGAGGTATTATTGTTTCTGCAGCGTGTAATACAGTGTGTGTGTCGGCAGATGCGGGATTTACAGCACGATAACGTGAACGGGTTCGTTGGCGCGTGCATTGAGCCGCCGAACGTTTGCGCCTTATCCGAATACTGCACTAGAGGCAGTCTCAAGGTAAAATATTGTTTATTATTAATATTATTTAGCTAACTATTCAGAAACTTCATTTTAATAGAACTTTTCTTAAGACCTGGATTGGTGTCTAGTTTTTGGCAATATCTTCTTATCTTAATGCTGCAATGGAACAAAAGTAATACCTAACCAACAATAACTAGCTGATACAAAGTGACTACCTATTTAGTACCTACTAATTCTTTTCTTAGGTACTGATACTGCAAACTTATTAGTGTTGCCACACTTATAAAGCTAGACTCGTAAGTCCAAATTCAGGATCGATTGAAAGTATTTCACAATATGGAATCCCCCATAATCAATACCACCTCAACCTCATAAGAGATATCTATCTACTATTTAACTTCTCAATATGTTTTTATTACAGGATATTCTTGAAAACGAAGATATCAAACTGGACAACATGTTTATCGCATCTCTAGTCGGAGATATAATTAGAGTGAGTAAAGATTCAATTTATCTGAGATTTAATGAGCACGCGGCCGGGCCGGGCCAGTCAGGCATAGGTACAAGGTTAAAGTGTAACATATGAAAACTATAATGTATACCTCGTGCATATTTGTACCTAGTCATCGAAATAGAATATCTGTTAGATAATACTAATCTACAACAAACCCTATCGTAACATTTGCGCTGTATTAGGCGATTTAAATCATGACGTTCATCAAATTGCTAGAAGCATTTTAATACTTTAGCAGGCTGAACAGATTTAGAATTTACGCACATACAGCTACTTTCCTACATTTTGTTAAAGGTTAGAATCTAGGGTTTCTAGGAGATACTTAAGTAAAGGATTTTTAATCTCTCCTTTCCAGGGCATGATTTTTATCCACGAATCACCACTGCAGTACCACGGTGCACTACGACCGTCAAACTGTCTAGTGGACGCTCGCTGGGTAGTCAAATTAGCAGACTTTGGATTAAAGGAATTCCGGAAAGGTGAACTACCTCCGTCGGAATCCAATGCTTTGAGAGCTCACATTGAAGGTAAGCAGTGAAGGAAACTGGAAGGCCCAAGATTTACTTGTTTTTGAAATACTTATTTACCAATACACTGCCGTGTGCCGGTAACTTCCAATTGAAATAACATCAATCTGTAATATCTACTATTCTCTGTTTATAGGTTTAGCTTACCTATCACCGGAGTTACTCCGCTCAGTGGGATGGGGCAAGGAAACCACAAATATGACAGTAGAGTTACACGATGGCTCACCGCAGTCCGACGTATACGCGTTCTCCTTAGTTCTATATGAGCTGCATACAAGACGAGGGCCGTTCGGAGGAGATGCGTTGCCAGTGCCCTCTCTACTGCATAGGATTGCGTCACCAGATCCTGTGCCATATAGGTAGGTATGTGTCTGAGCAGAGGGCAACGTGACCCATATGGTTTACTAACCCACACAGAATAAAATCTGCTCAATAGGATCTATTTTAATGTAACATGAATGAGTCTAAATACCATTCGGCAGAAATAACAAAAACTTTGCTTTCTGTAAACTCTAATAACAACATTTTGAAATAGGTACCTAACCTGGTAGAAGACTACTTACGAAAAAGCTGTTCACCTTTGGGGGATATTGTTAAAATAAAATTATATTTTAATTCCAGGCCCCCTCTAGACCCTCTGACTGGTAGTTTTGACTGCGTACGAGAATGTTGTTCTGAATGCTGGGCAGAGGAACCTACAACTCGACCGGACTTCAAAGCTATACGCACTCGACTCAGACCTTTACGGAAGGGCATGTAGGTTTATTTAACTGAATATCGAATTTCACCATTTTTAACCGATCAGGTATACAAAAGGTTATATTTTTTGTTATTAGGAAACCAAATATATTCGACAATATGATAGCAATGATGGAAAAATACGCAAATAATCTCGAGGCTTTAGTGGATGAGCGGACAGATCAATTGCAGGAGGAGAAAAAAAAGACTGGTATGAATAGCTAGACTTAATCAACATATTTCTCACTGGGACAGAATATACATGTTATTAGTTTTGGTCCATATCATTTCAGAGGCTTTATTAGAAGAAATGTTGCCAGCACCTGTCGCAGAGCAGTTAAAGCGTGGTCGACGAGTAATGCCAGAGAGCTATGATTCCGTGACTATTTATTTTAGCGATATAGTCGGCTTCACGGCCATGTCAGCCGAAAGCACACCTCTACAGGTAGGTAACTGGGCACTAAATTAATGCCTCTTACTCCTAACATTCACATTAATTATTATGATAATACCTAATTTGTGTTTACTGTTTGCAGGTGGTAGATTTTTTGAACGATCTTTACACCTGCTTCGATTCAATATTAGAAAATTTTGATGTCTATAAAGTGGAAACTATAGGCGACGCGTACATGGTGGTAAGTAGTTTGACCAAACTTTTCTTCGTCGATACTGGGAGAAAAATAAATAATAATTTTACGTTACTTTTCTCTGTCAGGTATCCGGTTTACCAATTCGCAATGGGATACTCCACGCAGGCGAAGTGGCTTCGATGGCACTAGCGTTACTGTCTGCCACGAGGGCATTCCGCCTGCGACATCGACCTGACCATCGACTGATGCTACGGGTCGGCATACATTCAGGTACCAATATTCATTGTCACCTCTTTATTGCTCTTTTATGTGTATTTACGTGAATATAATTTTCTACCTGATTCTTATGTTTTAGGTCCAGTTTGTGCAGGTGTAGTAGGTCTGAAGATGCCCAGGTATTGTCTTTTCGGAGACACAGTCAACACTGCCAGCCGGTTTGAGTCAACAGGGGCACGTAAGTAATGATCATGTTAGAGGAATATTAGTATATGCTGTAAAAGAAATATAAGTCACTTTATTGGGTATTTCAGCTCTAAAAATCCATTGTAGTCAAGCTTGCAAAACATTACTGGATCAACTGGGAGGTTACATACTTGAGGAGCGAGGTATAGTTTCAATGAAAGGCAAGCGGGACCAGGTGACATACTGGCTGCGAGGGGAGGAGCCCACTGCGGCCGCGGCCCGCGCGCGGCGCCGGGCGGCCAGGGAAAATGTACAGACACCCGGTAGTACTGACAAACGAGGGCAACGCAGCTCACTCAAAACTAAAAACTGGAAGAACCAAGTCGGCGGACTTCATAGGTAACGAAACGATTTATTTATGTATTTTTTGAACTCATTTTTCATAAATACTGAAACTATAGCTTATTTCCTATTCTTTCAGATGTTGCAGTTTAGAATCTCCTAAAAAATTACGTTTCGCCTCTGGAAATCATTTAGAATCGCACACAGATGGTGTTTTACATCACCGCAGCGATGAATACCTCATGGAAGTAAGTAAAAGGTTTTCCCAACTGGAAATTGACGACTTATTAAATAGCTGAACATTTTATAAATTTCCATATTTCAGGTGGTTGGAGAAGGACGGCTGGTACCAGCGCAACGATGTGATTTATTAGAGGCACCAAGCCTTCGTCAAGAATATACGAGTATATCGTGTCCTATCATCGAGCACACTGAGTGTATCCCGGCAGGGCCCGCGCCCGACACGCCGCTGCTGGTGAAGGACGCGCCGCCCTGCGACGCCAAGCCGAGTGACATCAAGCCGTGTGACATCAAACTGGTCATCAACGGCTGCTCCTACAACGAGCGAGATGGAGCCGGTATACCACTGCTGGCGGACGCGTAATATGTGCATTTGTACTTACCATGTAATCCTAGTCAATGGCAGCGACATGTATCTCTAGCTACTGTGACATGTCAAGCATAGCTAGAACCGAGTCGCAGTAGTTAATATTTGTACGAGGAAGGTCGTCTCGTTGGCCACGGCGGTGTTCTACCTTAAGGTTGGAGGTGAACGCTCGCCCGGTACGTACTCATGAGTTTACAACGATCTTCTCGTTTCTCGAATGACACTTAATGTAATTGTGATCTACGTCAGTATTATTAAGAGACCTTGTTCAATAGAAATTATTTAATAACATTAAACTTATTTCACAATTGACGGTAACATCGTTTTACTTACACATATTATTTACAACATCTCGATATACATACATGGCGTCGGTCGCTCGGGTCCCGCTCAGACGGCGGACTCAGTGTCTAGCAGTGGCTTGGCGCGGCGCAGGTCGGCGCTGGGCGCGCGCGCGGTGCTGAAGAAGCCGAGCAGCCATGACGGGATGGCGAACCGCGGCGCCTTGCGCTCCGCCGCCTTGGTCGGTTCCACGTTCTCCAAGGAGCGCCAGCGCTTGTAAAACTCGATGTAGCTGGCCTCGGTGGACGTGGCCTTTCTGCGCGGCCGCTCCAGCTTGGTGGACAGGCTCGTCTTGCGCAGGAGCGGGCTGTCCTCGTCGCGCGGCACCTCGTCCGTGACGATGCCGATGATGGTGCCGTTGAAGACGGGGTCGCCGCAGACGGTGGCCACGCCCACCTCGTAGTCGAGCGAGCGCGCGGTGTGTTGGCGGCGCAGGCGCGCGTCGCGGCGCGGCAGCACGTCCAGGGAGTGCCAGCGCGACGCCTCCGCCTCGTCCGCCGCGCCCAGGCACGCCGTCGACGACGCGATGGAACTCAGCGCGTGCCTGCAACCATACAATGCGGTGAGCGATGCTCGCCCCTGCCGCAGCGTGTGGCAGTAGTACAGTACATACCTGGGCCGCGGCGCGTTGTTGTCTGGCCGGGCGCGGCGCTGGCTGCTGGGCGAGGAACACAGCGGCGCGGGCAGGGAGCAGCGCGAGCCGCGGATGACGTCGCTCTCCTTCGGCCCGCTCGACATGCGCTGCCGTATCGTACTGCCCCCGCCTCCCCCTGCACATTCCCGACGACCCAGTTAGTTGGTATATTTTATTTGGTTACATCTACTGAACAATATTATTTTAAAATACAGAAAATATACCTGAAAGTGAAGGATGTCTAGAATCTGCCAGTCTAGGACTTCGCCTAGGTCGACGGAATAGGGGACGCTCCTCGCCCTCTACAGGTCTCTTTTGTACAGCCTTTTCTGTGGCACTGACCAACCAATACGTCTGAAGCTATAAAATAAAATTATTACTTAATATTATCTTCTTACTTATTACCAAATATTATCTTCTGCGCCATTTTAATAACTTGTAAAATTGTATAACATTAATCGGTATGTACTGCGCACCTGCCCTTTGCCTTTGATCGGTATAGTGCCCCTGGGCTCGACGATGTATCCGCCGATCTTGTCGAGTGCCTGCTTACAGCTCGGGGAGATGTGTATCTTGAGCGGCTCGCCGTTGGACTCCATGCGCGACGCAGTGTTCACCGTGTCGCCGAACAGACAGTAGCGGGGCATCGTCAGCCCCACCACTCCCGCCACTACGGCGCCTGGACACACACATACAGATATTACCTCATTTTATACATATTATACACTATTACATATATTAACAGCCCCGGTGTAGCACCAAATAGACAGGCATCACCGAGCGCGTATAATATGTGAATAAGCAATATAGATATTATAAATTCCGTAAATGTCACTAAATAATAACCAAATCAATTACCTGTATGAATTCCTATTCTAAGCTTGAGTGTTTCATTTGGTCTATGAGATATTTTGTGACTTTTAACCGCATTCAGTAATTCCAGCGCCATAGAAGCGATCTCACCAACGTGTCTGTCGTTATTCCTTATAGGTAGACCAGATACCTGGAAGTGTGTAAAACATTGTTTAATTCTGTTCTAAATGTTCAAATATGAAGTAAATAATTAAAGTACCTAATAGAAAACTCACCACCATGTACGCGTCTCCTATAGTCTCCACTTTGTAAACATCGTAGCCTCTAATTATCCTATCAAACACCGTGTACAGGTCGTTGAGAAAGTTGACAACTTGGAGCGGGGTGCTCTCTGCCGACATGGCGGTGAAGCCGACTATGTCACTGAAGTAGATGGTGACGGAGTCGAAGGACTCCGGCTCCACGCCCTCGCCCGTCGTGAGGCGGTGCGCCACCGACCTGCAACAAGCGCGCCATGTACCCAGCCCCACACGACATCGACACACGACTTCACTTACCACTACTTCAGTCTCATGCCGCTACTTACAAGCTACGGTATAAAACAACATACATACGTCACTAGACCTACGGACACTTCAATCACAAGCGCTCGAATCACAGTAACCCTTGATTCAAAGTAAACAAGAAAATCTAAAATATCTGAGCAACTTCGTTCAGACCTGAAGTAGGTAATTAAACCGTAATACTTATGCTTAGAAAATTTCATATTAAAGAATTAGTCAGTACTATTAATTTAAGCATGCTCATCTAAAATAAAAATTATCAAAAGTGCAATGTAATTTGAAAAAAGAGTCCACTCGTGCCCCATTACGAAAGATCACCAAAGAAACGCTACAAAATCGCTTGCAAAAAGCTATAAAAACCAGTAAACTACATGAAGAAAACTGCCATCACCGCCACGACACGCCACGCTAAACCGCCACAGTATCCCAAAGCAAGCTCTATGTCTACTCAAACTCTGTTAATGAAAAAGGTGAGCCACGGAATCACAATGTTTGGGAACATTTCAATGTAAGATTGTGATGTGAGCCGGCCACCTGTGTGTGAGGCAAACCATATTAAACTACAATCACCAATAGGGAGTTAATTACCTCAAGACATTTTCACGACATTTCTATAATGGATCATTCTCCACATCTGGAAAAGAACACAAGTACAACAAAGTGAATACATTAAATTTTTAGACGACGTACCACTGTTTTACATCAAGTCCATGTCGATGTTTTCGTGTGTTTGATGAATGAACTATATTGTGTGTATTAGTTTATTTATAGTACCATTATCAATCCGAACTAATAATACTTAAAGCGTGAATAATGTTCATGATTTCATATTATGTACTACTGTGACCTATGCGGTTAATTTGTATGTATATAACGTAAATGTACGAAACATTGTAACATTTTGGTGGCCATTACATTTTCCAATACAATTTAATGTCATGTAGAATTACAAAAGTATAGTCATGTACAGTTCGCTATGCCTGTAAGAAAACAAACACATTACCAGTCAACTCATTAATTAAAAGTTCACGTCTGAACGTGTATACGAGAGCAAAGTATAAAATCTAGTTATCACATAGCAATGAGACTTGGACTAAATGTAAACCAGTACGCACACTACTGCGACATCCAGGTGTGTGATACAGCTTGTTGTATTTGCGTCTTCCTCAACTGTGCTCACATGTATATATTAATTACACCGATAACAGTACAAACCTTTAAATTAGTAATAATATAGTAATTAGATGACGCTAACATATAACACTAATGTACACAAAATATTAATTACATGTACATGCACATCACGGTGGTTACCAGCGCGACTGGGCCGAAGCTTGCTTCTTTAAATGCATTTTAGACACAAATCTGATACGAACGAATCAATACGCGGATTGTTATTGACAAAATGTGACATCAGTATTATATACAACAACGAGGACAGTATTACTGCATTGGGTACAACATAGTTATAATTGTATTTATGTGTGTCTAGATTAACTTACTTTGGGAGCATCCTATGTAATAAGTCTTCGGTTTTCTGCTTCTCTTCCATCAATAGCCTCGTTCTCTCGGTGACTAGTTCTTCTAAATTATTGGCATATTTCTCCATCATGTCCATCATTTGGTCCATTATATTTCTTGATCTGGAAAAAGTAATGAGAATGTTACCCAACTTTGTAGACTTCCAAAATATTTCTTGAGTAATAATTTGTTAAGATTTGTTCTACTGACTTTCCTGATTTCATTTTCTTGAGACGACTTCTAATAGTAGGGAAGTCGGGTCTCAGGTTGGGGTCTTCAGCCCAGCAGTCTTTCATACACGCCACCACGTAATCTTCGGGAGGAGGATCCAGGGTGTCTGTGTTCGGTCGAAACACCTCTTCACCATCCAACTTTGGTCTCTTCAAGCGCTCTATTATATCTAAAGAAAAATCGGAAAATACGTAAGCATTTTGAAAAGTTTATGTCATGGTACGTACGTACATTGTAAATAAAGGCACACATACCCTTCGGTTCTGTGCCCGTCAGCCCAAAAGGACCTCTTCTAGCTATTATTTCGTATAAGATTATGCCAAATGCATATACATCGCCCTTCTGCGTTCCACCGACTGTGCCATTAGGGTTATCCATCTCCCTTAGCAGTTCTGGTGCCTTCCATAATAAGCCTGGAAAATGATATAACACCATCAATGCTACATATATCTTTTACAATTTTATTAGTTATAGATATTTTATGAGTCATACCTCTATAATATTGGTGTTCCCCAATAAATTCGTTTTCAGCACAAGCTCTCAGCTCGTGTAGACCAAAATCAGCAACCTAAAACAGTAATTTTAAATGTGAAAGTAAAATCAGTATTTTGGAAATAAATGTGATCGACAGAAGCATATGAAATTATATCTAACCTGTAGCATCCACCTAGACGTAACAACACAATTCGAGGATTTGAGATTCCCATGAAAAATTAATGGCGAAGTATGAATAAACATCATACCCTGTAAGTAAAAACATTATTTTTAATATGCTACAATAACAAGACCACAAAATGACGAAGTCAAATTAGTTAGTTTCTTACGTACCTTTATGAGATCATGAATTAGCGAAGATATAAACATTTTGTCCAATTTTATATCTTCATTTTCGA